ATATTCCAAAAATTAAGTAGGCTATACCAAAGTCCTTTTAGGCAAGTCATGCCACTCGGCCGCCATCTTTGGCGTTACGGGTTTTCCCTATATAGTTGTATTAAGGATTGATTAAGTGGCATGTCTCTATATAAATAGTCTCTGGCTATACTTACAATTAGATTATATTACGTTTTTTACGTAGTAGCTACATGTTAAGTCACCAATTTCAATATGACTTAAAAGGAGTAGGCCTATCTGGTTTTAACAGTGCTTAAAGGGTTAGTTAATGCAGCGCTCAGTAAGAATTCCGTTTTTGTCAAACAGCGACCCCTAGAGTCGCTGTGGAGCACTTGTACTGTCGTGAATAGCACTCACGCAGAGATGGCTCGCACTCACGGCCGGATCCCCTCCCCCTGTACACCGGTACCTGTTCAGTGGGATGGACGCTGTAACGAGTGGAAATAAGGTATGGCCCCTTTAAGAGCTGCGCGCGCCCTACCACATGTATACGGCGCCGGGTTATTTCAGTTTGATGCTCATTTTATCAGAATTTTATCAGATCTGTTTTTTTGCCGTAAAGCAATTTGTTACCTCGCGAGACCTGATATCACACGATACTTCCTAACACGCAGGCCGGCGGCTCGCCGGCCCAAAGTTGCAAGGGTGGTTTTGCGGCTCACAGGCACCAGGGGGGTGCGAGACGACCACCATTCAACACGAAATCAGTAATATAAACATTACAATGACTCCAAAGCTGTTCGGTTAAAGGTGCCCTAGAATGTTTTTTTTAATTATTTTATAATATTTCCTGGGTTACCCTTATAATGTTAGTATGTTTTTTAGATAAAAAATAATCATAATTTAGAAATAAATGGCATTTTTCCTAGCCTGCTTTTAGCCTCTGATTTGAACACTCTGTTTGAAGGGGCGTGTCTGCTGTGGGATTCAGTGTAACCGCGGCCACTGCTGTGATTGGCTGACATGCTTGCATATGAAATGGCAACGCATTACATGTGAAACTCTCTCCCGAATACTTTTACTACTGCTATTATACGTTTTTACTATAACAGCTATCGAGATTAACGAATTGTGAGATGTTTTTAAAGTATTTAGATCTATTCCCATCACATAAAATGTTGCCGTGATGAGCATTGAGCAGATGACAGTGTGTTGATCGCGAGAATGAAGATCTTATCATTGCAAAGCAGTTTCTGCACTCTCTCTGCTTTCACCAATGCAAACACGATGATGTAAATACAGTAAGAGCTTCGTTGTGCAGTAACGTGCGTCATTGATTTCATAACGAGTTTGGCAAGTGTCCAGATAAACTCGCGCTGTGTGGAAAGATTGTTCTTTGATCGCTTACTGTATATAATTTGTTCACAATTTAAATACGATTATTTTCATCCTACTAAAAGAAACGATGTGAAGCTGATATTTTAGTCACTGGCTTGACTTACTGATACATAAACAGTATTGAACGATTTTGAGAGAAAGATTACCTGTCTGAACTTGAACAATTACACATCAGAAAGTGTTGCTTGGTAGCTCGATCCGAGGCCAGCTCTGTATTGGCCCAAGTTGAGGAAACAGCTTCGGCTGCGCAGTTCCGCCTGGCATTGAGGGCTGGCATTATGCAAATATTTGGAGGCGTACATATTAATGATCCTGACTATTGCGTCACAGTCGGTATTGTGTGGAGAACCGACCGTTTTTCAGGGGTGTTTTTCATAAACGTGAATTAAATGAGAACGCGAAAACAGTCCAGCAGGGTTCTCAAGTTTTATTAAAAGCTTGGAGTGAGATCACATGCGGTTAGGGGAGGAGCCTAAATGGAGCCCCGCCCCCAATTTTACCCATTGTTCATAATTAACCAGCAAAAATTGAAATTATAACAATTGGTAAATCTGATAAATGACAGAGCAATTCATCACATCAAATATAGGCCTACTCTTTAATGTTATATTTCAAAATTAGGCTATAAATATATAACAAATTGCTCCAATGTTTGGAAAAACAAATATTTTTGCATTTTTCCCTGACATCTTTGAAAAATACAAATGCAATGGCAATGATTAGGCTAATGTATGTTTTGACAGGATATACAATATTATCAAGAGCACTCTGCTTTAGCCTTAATGTAACTAGAAATACTATTAATACAGTATAATATAGAATTTTAAATAAACTGAAGAAATACATCTTCATTCCTTCCCATACCCAATAACATTTCCTTAGCCAAACCGAGCCAAAGCTTTTGGCCTGGTTGCAAAGCAGTTGTAGAGTTTTTGACTGCATCAATAATGTATACGATGGGCTATATATTAAATGTTCTAGTCTAAAAATGTTAGGCGAGCTTTCTTCCAACTTACTTTCTCCATCACGACGTGTGTTCGCGCGATGTCGCGGTGGCCGAACTTCCGTGTGTGTTCGCGGACTTCGCGCGTCTATAAGTTGCCTATAGTAACGAACGCAATCTGGCCGAGATGCGGACGCGCTGGCGGCAGGAAACTTATCTTTGTGTGCATGCGCCTCGTATACAACGTTATATATAAAGCTTGCAGGACAACTTGGTTGGCATTGCCTTTTCAGCGTGAGAAATACACGGTGTGGCGTGTGAGCGTGTGAACTGGTTGAATTGCGTGTGTCTCACGGCCAATGCGTGAGACTTGAGAACCCTGAGTCCAGTTTGAGATTCACTCTATGTCATGTCCATGCACTGAACTCTTGTTATTTGACTATACCAAGGTAAATTCAATTTTGAATTATAGGTCACCTTTAAGGTAAAAAAGTTACTTAGTTCACCTTTAACCTCAAAATGAAAATTATGTCATTAATTAATTACTCACCCTCATGTCGTCCCAAACCCGTGAGACGTTCATCTTCGAAACACAAATGAAGATATTTTTGATGCAACGTTCTGGGAACGTTATAGTTTCAAAAAATAAAACTTAAAAAGAACGTTCATAGACCGTTATTATTTGGTTCTCAAAAAAAAAAAGCAAATGAGAATCAAATACTAACGTTAGGGTAACGTCCTTGTTTGCTGGGTTATGCAGAAGTTCACACTAATAGCTCAATGGCTTCATAAGGGAGAAACATCAGAGAACCAGAAATACAAGTGAGTGAAAATATTTAGTCAAAAACACCACTAGCCTACTGCGAGCAGCATTCTTTATTCTTGTTAGCGTTTAAGAAACTTATTTTTTTGATTAGGCCTATGTTTTAGATAGACTTTATTGACATGGTGAAAGAAGTGTCTTGGAAATGAGGCAGCCCACAGTGAGTAAATGCAACAGGTCTTAGAAAGACTCAAAAGCAAAGAGAAACTCTTGAAAGCTTTCCGTTTTATTGCTCATGTCCTCAGCTTGTAGCCTTTATTTGACAAACATGAACACGCCAAAACATGAATATGATCATGACAAGCTAATGAAATAAAAAATATAATTGGATTCTCTTTTGGCATTGACAATCTTATATTAATATATAAAAAAAATGAAATGCAATTCGTCAATACGCAGCGAAAGCTTTGGCAGTTCATATATTACCAGAACCGCTTGGTTATAAGATATTAAATGGCAAGAGAACAACTGATTCAGTTCATATAAATATTTCTCTTGCAATTCTGACTGAAAATCTGATTCTAAAAAATAAAAATTATAGAAATAGTCTATACACTTTTGAAGCAGTCTATTTACAGTAAAAAGAAAAGGTTTACATTCTGAATATAGTTGTTTTGTTGTGCCCACTGTACACTGAATAAAAACAGCTCCTTTGAAACAATAGCATCATTATTTTTTTTACAATGTGTTCCAAAGGAACACAGATAACTTTTAGATAATACTTAATACTCTTAATAATTCAGCCAAAATTGTAAAGACATATAAAAATATCCTTATGCTTTTTTTTAAAGTGGGCTGGATTGCTTTCAAAAATATTTTTTAAAAAGAAGCCTTTGAACACAAGCTGATGCGTCTTAATTAATGAATTTGTTTGTTGCTTGAAAAAAAAAAATCATATTTTTGTCAGTTTGCATTCAATATCAGAAAACTAATGTGAAAATGTGTTACAGAGACATGCAGAGAGTATCTACTGCAAGTATAAATACAGAAACATATGCCCATGTTTTGAATGTTCTACATTAACACACACAAACACACACATAAAATATATATGCATATCATAAAAGCAAAGCTGTTATTGTTTAAAAAAAAATCTCCATGAGATATGTAGAGAGATACATCCTACATTTTAACATAAGACAAAAAACTTGAACAGTTCAAGTGTATATTCATAAGTAGAACAGATGGAACTGGTAAGGTCACGAGTACATAAATACGCAATAATAAAATATGATAACTATTCAGTTTTAGTATGGGACGAAGATGTTTTGAGAGCCTAAATGTAGTGCAGGGCATCATGGGCTCTGACTTGACACAAGGTACATGTATTTCCATTCATTTTTGGTTTGCTGGACGGTTCTATGTTTTGGAGGTATTAAAGCACCACAGGCAAAGGCACAATATTCAGTTTTCTATTTACATCACAAAGCACAAAATGGCACTTCATTGGTTTTCTTAGCTGTATTACTACAAACAAATCTCATTTTTCTGAAAAACTTTAAATATAATATAATTCACAAGAAGTGCATACGCGGTTTTTAAGAATTCCCTTCATGAACAGTGCATTTACTTATAGTAATTTAAAATATTAAGTACAAGGCATTTAAAAAATTTAATTTTGGACTGATGTACAGTACATGTGGTTCATCTAATACAAAAACAACTATTCTTAAAGAAATATATCAAACATTTGCAGTGGTGTGATGCATTCATCCACTTTCCCTTCAAACCACTTGTTTTGGGGAATATGACGGACAGTAATGGTTTAGTCTCACAGATGATGAGGTTATTGCTCGAAATACACTAATCTGAGTGAGTTCATTTATGTGAGTCAAAAGGCTATGGAATAAAAAAAAAACACAAAAAGAAAAAAAAATTGCCTTAACTCCACCTGTCCAATCCAAACTGTGTATGAAGGCTCAAGTCTCTGACAACTTTGACATATGAGATCAATATTGGACGACTTTCGAAAGTCAAATAATAGCAGGGAAATTCAATACCATTTGCACATCAACACACTGCTGTTCCAGGGGTTGACTGAGATGGATGTTTGGTTAAATGCGGTCCATGATCCAGTTTTTTGTCAGAGGTGACACTTGACCGGGCCGAGGCATCGCTGCTGCTCTCACGTGTCCCGCTGAAGGCAGGGGAACGCCGATACACTCCAGGGGTCCTGCTCGCTTCCCGATCAGGGCTTTCCTCTATGTCTGACCTCTGCCATGCACTCCTGTCAGATCTTTCCTTATGATCTCATTCACTGTAGAAAAGACAGAAAAGAGGAACATGCTTAAAAATTAAAGGGAAGAACATCGGTTCAGAACTCTTCAGAACTGCAATTTCAAAGTGGGGTTCAAAAGTTGAGACCACAAGTAAAAATGCTTATATTTTAGATTTCTTTTTTTGTTGTTGCAATAAATAGTGTGGAATTTCAAAGATTTCTTCACAATCCTGCATCATAGTTTAACTTAAAAATGTATTTCCTGATTGAATATATATATAATAAAATATACTGTAGTATATTTTGATATATGTATATATATATATTCCTTAATTTATATATATATATATATATATATACACTGGTATATATATTACGATTTTAATATAATTATTGGTACTGTAGAATCGAACAATCGCATCTAACATAAAAGTTTGTAAATGTGTGTGTGTAAATATACTGTGTATATATATATATTTATATATATAGCCTACATACATACATACATACACTGTCGTTAAAAAGTTTGGGATCTGCACGATTTTTATATATTTTTAAAAGAAGTCTCTTCTGCTCACCAAGGCTCCATTTATTTGATTAAAAATACAAAAAAACAGTAATGTTGTGAAATATTTTTCTATTTTACTGTTTTTTTATATATATTTTAAAATGTAATTTATTCCTGTGACGCAAAGCTGAATTTTCAGCATCATTACTCCACTCTTCAGTGTCACATGATCCTTCAGAAATCATTCTAATATGATAATTTGATGCTCAAGAAACATTTATTATTATTATCAATGTTTTTTGATTGATATATGTGTGTGTATACACACACACACAACATATACAGTATACACATATATATTTACGCGATTAAGCAATTTGACAGCACTAATAATTATACTAATACATATTTCACACACAGGGTTTAGATTAAGCCAGGATTAGGCCTTTGTTCAATTAGGACATTTAAGTAGCTTTTATAAACGTGCCTTAGAAAAAAAAAAACATTCCTGATGTGCATTTTAAGACAAAACAATGTCTCTGACATATTGTAAGATCACTATAAGTTACTTTCAGTTAAAACAGCTCAAACATGCATTTTAGTCTGGGACTGGGCTTAAGCCTTGACTGTGAAACCGGGTAATAATATTGAGAATCCTGCTGTTTTTGACAGGCTGAATTCAAGTATTATACGATGCAGTGACAGTGACCGGCCACTAGGTGGAAGGGAATGATTTGACAGAACAGGCTCAGTGAAGCCCTCGCATTGGCCATCACTTCCTGTTGTTTTACAGGGGGGCATAAATGGAAACTTTTACTGCCTCTTCATTCTAAGAATAGCAGCAGTGTTGTAACTCAGTCACAACACCACCACACATTAGACTAGCCACAACTCAGACACGAACAAAGGTCACAGGTAAGATCAAATTATTTGAATGTGGGAAAACACCTGTTTGAGATAAGTATGGATCAAAATGATGACAAAGTCACTGATTGATGGTACAGTTACATGGCAGACCATGGTACTTCAAAGAACAGGATGGTTTCAAATGCATGGTACTATCCAAAACACTAGTTTTATCATCATTTAATTGTTTAGCCAAAGAGACAACCAAATATGTTGGTTTCGGACAAGAGATTCCATTTATTATATATCCACCATTCACCTTGCATCTCTTCAGCCACTGAACTGCTCTCTACCTTTACGCATACTGTGCTTTGGCTTAAAAACTCAAGCAGCATAAAGATAATGTGGTCTGACCTGATTGGCAGCATCCTCAGTGCCATTTACTATCAAGACAAGACACTTCGGCCTGGAGAGCCAGAGCACAAGTCATCACTACCTCAATACACAGTGCCATGCTGTTTGTTTGTTATGATGGATGAGCTGGAATAACAGGTGTAGCATACATATTCTCTCAAGGGCTTGAGCCATATGTCTCTGACACGGTGCTGGCTGAATTATTGATGGTCAGTCTGAATATTTAAGATAACAATAATAATTATAAACCAACCTGCGTTAAACTATTAGCTATGAAAAATGCAATTTTATGTTTTAGCAAAGAGGCAACCAATCGGCTGCAACCAATTGTATTTAAAGCGCAATGGCAATGTCAAACGGTAAAAAAGTCACAAGTTTTGCAAAGTGAAGTAAAATGTATGCACAAGTAAACACCACTGCTAATTGGCCAACCAAAAATTAGATTAACCACACTGAAAGTATTTCACAAACAGTGTCTGTTGTGGTGAGAGCTTGCGTTCGAGGAGAAGGAACTCAACATTCAACTGATTTCCCTATTTGAAGCTTTGAAAGTGTAAGGAGCACAATGGCACAAATATAAAAGCCCAAACCAAAAAGCTTGATGGATCTTATAGCCTGAAATGTTTATACCAGCTCAGATACGATAATTGAAGGTTAACGAATGATCTTGAATAAATAAATAACCCTTGTATTTTTTCATCTTTAAAAAACATAACAAAAAGTAAAAATGTATAAACAATGATATACAATACTAAATACCTTATTCAAGATATTTGTGATTATGATAAGGCTAAAAATAAAACTTCTTTTCAGTAAAATCTATAACAGTGCAATCAAGAAAGCCTTGCTGTTTTAATCATACAACACTAAGTATGGGAGCTCTATGTGGATGACATCTGTTTTTCCCTCAGAGACTAATGAAGAGCAGATGAGAGAGGAATAAACTGGTAGTAGCGGGATTCTGAAGTGCTTTATCAGCGAGAAAAAAACTAAATACGAGGCCCTGCAGACTTTAGATCCACTGATGGAACTACTTCCAACACCCAACAGCTTAAAAGAAACTCAACAGCAGGGAAACCGGACTTTTTGACACGTAGAAGCGAGATCTTTACAACTTCTGAAGAAAATATGAGTGGTGCTTCGCTTTTTGTACATACATAGAAAACCATGCAATGTACAGGACAGAGAGCTTATAGGGAAAGTAATGAAGGGCTGGCACACACTGATGGTTTTAGCTGTAAAGGAAGTGTACAGACTGGGCGGTATAATAGGTGAGTGTCTGGCTGGAGAGACCTTGACCAATCAGAAAGCTTGTTTACAAACTAATGGTGGAAAGTAAGACAGAGCATAGTAGATGACTCAGTCTGCACCTCAACTATGTGTGCAAACTGTGCATGTACTTAGCTATAAGTAAAATCAAAATCTGTCAAAGCCACTTTTAGGTATGTCTGAGTGAATAAGCAATGTCTTTTATGTACAAAAATGTTCAAAGTTGCCTTTTAGGCTGTAATCATTATTATTTGCTTTATATAAAAACCATAGAAGTCTATGGTATGTCCTCATTTAGATTGCAAGGTAGCAAGCGTGTGTACGTGGATCATATATGCTGTAAAATAGTGTAAAGACTAAGAAAAGTCATACAGCACTCGATCTACTGGTTAGTGTGTGTGTGTGTGTGTGTGTGTGTTGGGTATCGGGCTAGCACTGAGTGATAATAAAGCCACAGAGCAAGTGTAAAGGACAGGAAGAGTCTACACCGCAGGTCTGACTGTTTGGCCTCCAAAACAGACTAGTTTAAATGAAAAAAAGCCAAACCAAAAATAAACTCTGGAGACCTCCTTCCCTTTTAACTCTGCCTTCAGACCATGTTAAACTCTACAATCTACAGATGCTTCTTATTTCGAACAACACTTTTAAAGAACAAAGCTACATCTTATCAGGACACCATTTTCACAGCCAAATACCCAATGGCTTGGCACACACACGGTCCAAAACTGGATGCAAGTGATCTGAAACTAATGTGCACGGCTTACGTGCTCTATCTAAATTATTCCTGCTGCTCTCTCCAGCTGGAAGAACTTCAGCTCAGGCTTCCTAGGCTGGAACCGAAGCCTAAGGCGGAAAAAGTTGAGCCAGATGAGCACTGGAAGATTGGCCAATGTTGTACCCTCAAAACTCTTAGCCAGTTTGGCTGTTTATCTCAGGGTAACACTTGTAAAGGGGCCGATGCGCAGATGACATAAAATCAAAGGTGATCTTTGTAAAAGTAGTCTAGTAAAAGAACATAACTATTGTATCTTGCAAAAAAACGCCAGTTTGGACTAGTATTCATTTGCATGTTAGCCTAGACTGGTACCAATCTAGTTGGTCAATTCAGTTAGACCACCATTGCTAAAACTTTGCTGACGGAGCTGGTCAAACAAGTCTAGCTGGTTAAGCTTGTCAAGAAGCTGTTGATTACAAAAGGTGTAGTATTTACACAAAGATGTACTTAACTTCCTTTTCTTGCTATTGAGAAATGCAAAACATGCATGTTCATAATGAAATAGATGAAGGTACAGTTTCTTTACAGAAAGCCAACCACAGAAACCTTGATGCCCCCTTCAAAAAGCCACCATCGAAATTCTGAGTGAAATAGACATATCTGCATGAGTCATATTACAACTGGTTTTGTGTGAAGGTCTTGGAGGACATCAAACGATGAGATGTTAGTGGGTGGATCGCTACACACTGACACCTCTGCAAGCAAAAGCAACTGGGACTTTTTGTGGTCGTCGTCCTTCCTGCTCTCAATGATCTGGACTTTGCACCCCATCTGCTCTTGGGTTACTACCGGTATCACTTCTTAAAAAGTAAAACTGGAGCCACTATGATTCTTAACTAGATTAACCAACAAGATTGATTTACAATAAGGTCATCCAGCTTCATTATAAAGAACATGCCGAATTCACTAAGGTAAAGCGACTTGTTGCAGGGTCAATCCGACAGCTGGATCTTGAGGTTAAGTGTCTTGCTCATGGGTACAATGACAAAAAAACCCTGCCTTACACCTTGTAGGATTCTGCAACCTCAGTGAATAACTGTGGCCCAACAGAACAGACTGTGTTTGCAACAATTTTGAGTCAGAGTGGTAAAGTAGTAACCTCCTCGTTATCGTGCTTGAGCTTTAGTCACTTTACCACTCCAGTCCCGAATTGTGTTGTGTGTGGCCACAGTTATTTCCTGCAGTGTTTACAAATCTCAGCATTTTTCTGTCTTGCTTTAAGGGGCCTTAATGAGGGAATTCACTAGCAGCTTTATGAGTTTACCAGAGTGGTGTTAAGCTCTAATGGGGCTACCAGAAATTCTTGTACACAAAAAAGGGGGGCTACAGGGATTCAATAGAAAGGTCATAAACCAGCATCTTTTTACGAAAACATCAAAGGTTCTAGGACCCGGGAATCTCATAGTAACTCTCTAGTAACATGTCTACAGTTGTGGTGTTGCTATTGACTCAGGGAAACCCTATTTGAGTATGCAGAAGAAAATCCATCTTTGGCTCTCGGTCCCACTCGCTTCAGTTTTTCCACCCAACATGGCCCTTTCCCTTTCCTGCGGACTCCCACCCAACACTATCTTGTTCAGATCAGGCTGCCTTTCTGGATAAGTGCAGCAGCTGCAAATAGCAGTTCTGTGCTCCAGATTGGCAAGAGTGCGACCTGTGGAAAAAAAGCAAATCCTCTCGCAGGTTCCCCCCACAGTATTGGGGGGCGCGAAGCCAAGGGGAAGCCCTGGCCAAGTATAACAAACAAAGAGGCTTTCCCCAGCTCTCCCAGGCAGCCCATTCCCCTGTTTGACAATGGGTTGCCATGGCACTTGTTTTGTGAATCATAACACTGTCAACATGTCCAAGAAGTTTTGGAGCTGCTTGGTTTTCTTTTCCTTTTTTTATTTGCAAGGTCGAAAAAGCACCCATTTCCTTGTCAGATACAGGGCATAGAGAACCCCCTGCACGCAACATAATAAACCACAAGAGAAACTCTGACCCCTTGAACTCCCAAACTGCCTTACAGTAGTGACACTGGAATCTTACGCTTTCCCTTGCCAGTATTCTGCTGCATCGTGGATTGGCCATTTTCATTATAAAAAGTCATTATAACTCGACTGGTTTTTTGACACAATTGAAAAACAAAACAGAGGGTGTGTGTAAGGAAACGTGTAGCCATATCCATCTAATTCATTATGGTTTCACTCTTCCTGAGTAATGGAAAGAATATACTCAAAGCCAGGGGTACAAAATAGATCTTTCGTTCATTACACTTTATATAATACAACATTTCTGGTGTCTCGTTGTCCTTGTGAGAAACCACCCCCCGAAAATGTTAAGAAGATAAGACAATGAGACGGACTTGACAAGCACTCTTCCTGCTATTGTCTGAAAGCAGAGAAAATGTGCTTGGGGACATTTCTAATGGTACATTAACACATTGTCAGTCAAAGAATGTGACTGAATGGCTCTTCACTACATTTGGCACATTCCTACGGCCACATATTTTTACGGGGAATTTAAAAGCATGTGTCACTTCACATGCATATGGATTGATAGATACTTTTTAACCACAGTGTAGATGACACACAGTGTAAGAAGCATTGTTTTAATGTTTCCCAATCAGTATGCTTAAAACAGTGAAGAAAAGCTTTTATTCTGTCAGTGCTGTGGAAGCTTGTGTCACCAAGACAAATTCCTTGTATGTGTAAGCATACTTGGCAATAAAGCTCTTTCTGATTTCAAAAAAGTCTTCAACTACATTTTTACTTAATTACGTATGCCTAACCATTAGAACAGCGAATGGTCAACCTGCAGCTTCTCACCATCATCAAGGTAGGCCTGATCCAAGTTCTCCTGCTTGACCGTGACTCGTCCAGGAACACTGGTTCTCGGTTCTTCTGCGGAGGAACATCTCTGGGCCTCTACTTGGACAGGAGGTGACCTGTCTTTGGCCACTCTTTGGAGGAAGGGCTGCTGTTGGATGACAGTGGGGTAATTCTGAGGGTGCTGGGGTGCCTGGGCTGGTGCTGGTGAACGGTTTGCCCCTGTAGCTTGGGGACTATGCTGGTTATAGCCCTCACAATAAATGATGTGCTGATGTTCTGGGGGTGGTGGCGCAGGGGGATCTCCTCCTCTGAGCAGGTGGTGGTTGGTGGGTGAGAACTGTATAATTGAGGGATGCTGGTTGGAGGGATGTTGGCCACCCAGGTGAGGGGACTGGGCTGGGGAACCCGTGTGGACCAGAACTGAACGATGGGAGTCTGGCATCATAGTGGCTCCCGTCTGAGAGTAAATAGGACTGCTTGACATGCTTTTCCCAGGACGGGCGTACAGTATGGCTTGGCTCTGCTGCTGAAATCGGTGGTCTGGAGGGGAGACACCCAGGCGGGTCTGCTGACAGGGGACGAGGCCAGGCACCAGGCCACTGTCTGGGGTGATGACCCCCCGAGGGTTATAGTACGGCTGGGGAGACACCCCCAGCATTTGCGACATGGAATAACGCATCCGACCAGATTCATATTCATCCACCGGCTCTGTCTTAATAGACGGAACTGGGGAAGTAAAATGAGAGAATATCTATGATGGAGTATTCAAAGTGCACATATCATGGAAAAGATAAATAATACTCAATATTCTATATGCAAACTGAGGTCATGCACACATAAAAATCTTAAAGGTACAGTATCAAATAATACCCCTAATAGCCATATAGGTACCTGGTAGAGGTGTGTAGGTGAAATGCTGAGGCTGACTGCGCTTCCGTTTCCCATTTATTACGTAGAAGTTGACTTTGGCTGGATGGCAAATGGATGGGTCTCTATATGGAGGCACCTCAATGAACAGCATGCTCTGTGAATGAGAGAATAGTTTTATTGCTGTATCTATATAGACAGTTTACAAGAAGAGGGCTGAAAATAGACCTTCAGGAAGTTCAGTAATTTATGTAATGCAGGCGCTGGACTTACTGCCTGACTTTTGTCTTTGTCAACTGTGGCTTCCAATTCCCAAATCTGCTGTCCATCTGGAAATAGAAAGAGAGAAAAAGAAGGTTTAATTAAATTTGGGTTGCCTAAGTTAAGTTGAGATTAGTTAAGTTTAACTGCATAACCATTATGTAATACCCATGCCAAAGCTCTCATTTATCAGTAAGTAATTGATGTAGGCTTCTTAATGGCTAATTTAAGACCACTGGAAGAGTGTAATCTTTGTTCCTTAATATTATATATATACATATATAATACATATATACATAGTTCTTCCCTCAGTTGTTTGGGGAAATACACGATTGGCCAACCGTTTTCACTGGCACACACTGCTTCCTCCCCTTGTTCATAATGACTCAACTCTGTTTGGATAGGTAAAGTGGGTGATGAGTTGCGGGTTCATCTGTCATATCTATAGGTCATAGGGTACTTACATAATTCCTCGCCTACAGATTGGTTCCCATACTGCAGAGATTGCATGTGGTACAAGTCAATCACATTTCTACCCACAGTTCAATCAAACACGCTTCCTCAGACACTGCTGACCTCATGACTAACAATCTGAGCATGTAGTGTATTTTGACTGCAAAAAGTCAGAGATGTCAGGTCAGTATGAACTCAAACCTTTCTCTCATCAACTTTATCTAAGACCAAATGATCTGAATTGTGCATTCCTAATCCCAAGTATCTTTACATAACAGCTTACATTGCATTCTGACTTCCATGTTTGAATTTGTCAACACTGCATTGGCACCCTATTCGACTTTGGTTAAGCCCCGCCCCCCTTAGTTACTGTTGCTACGTCCGACAAACAAACTTCATCTGGGCTCTGGTATCAACATGGCTTATGTTGTGACAGCTCTTCCTGCTGAAATTTTATCAAACTTTTATAAAGCAGCAAATAAAGTGTCCGATAGAAGTAGGCAAAAGGGGCAGCAATATTCGTTCGAAGGCTATATTCATGACAGTGAAACGCAAGGAACAACAAGGCATCCAAATAGAGGCAAAAGCATACCGGTCACAGTCAAAAAATGAACCACCGCATATCCTACTAATCGAGACGGAGGCTGGGACTAACAATATCAAGGAGCAACACTGTTCATGCAAAGCTGGGTAGGTCTCTATTCACTTCTATAATCGTTATTACAAAGCAAACGGACTACGCGAGTATAACGTTGTATTTATTAGCAGCGTGTGCTAGACGACTCTTGTCAGGATTTGACTTCGGTTTGGAATGGGGAAAAATCAGACACCCCCCTCCAACCTCTCTGGGAAACGCGTATCTGTGTTACAAATGCCCCAGGCACAACGTTTAACCATATTTTTGATAAAACTACGACGGTAATAGCCTGCCGAGACGCCTGTGTTAAAGTCAATGGAGCGCTGTGAAAAAGTGTCGGACCTCTGTGGGAGCTCGTTCTTGGCTGCGCTGTGATTGGTCAATCTACATTCTAGGGTGTGGCTTAGCCAAAGGCGAATTAAACGTATAAATATAAAAATCTTGCTGATTACTTAATAATCACTAAATGGTTTAGCACCTCAGTACTTGAGCAAGCTCTTCTTAATGCATTATGGTCTTTCACGTCTATTGCGATCTCAAAATTCTGGGCAGTTGATAATACCTAGAATATAAAAATCAACTGCAGGCGATAGATCCTTTTTCTATTTAGCACCTAAACTCCGGAACAGTCTTCCTAGCATTGTTCGAGAAGCAGACACACCCTGTCAGTTTAAATCTAGACTAAAAACACATCCCTTTAACCTGGCATACACATAGAACATTATAAATTTATATTATTTAAATCAGTTAAATGATTGTTAGGCTGCATAAACTAGGTCAGCTGGAACCGGGAACACTTCCTATAACACCCAATGTACACGTTACATCATAAGAAGAACGGCATCTACACTAATATTAGTCTCCCTGTTTATCCCGAGATTTTAGCCAGAGTCAGCCGGGCCGTATCCAGATCAGAAGCAGGACCTGTGTCTAGACACAATCACAGCGCATCCCTGAAGTGTCAGCAGAGATTGTGTCAACTAGACTCTCCCCTTCGATCTTCAACCAGATGGAACGGGATAAATATTCTGAATTTTCCGATCCAATCTGACTTCTGACCTCTAATGCTGCCTGAATAATAATCATACACTGTTCGTTCGTTGGCCAGAGGAGAACTGGACCCCGACTGAGCCTGGTTTCTCCCAAGGTTTTTTTCTCCATTCTGTCACCTGATGGAGTTTTGGTTGCTTGCCACTGTTGCCTTCGGCTTTTGGCTTGCTTAGTTGGAGACACTTATTAATATTCAACAATATTATTGATCTGCCTGCATTGACACCATTATATGAGAACTGAACGGAGCTGGACGACGATGACATCACTGTTTTCTCCAGAGCGGCTGCATAAATGAACTAAATTAATAACTTTTTTACAACACAAAAAATGAATCATCACTGAACTTACTTAAGCTTGGACTATGAAACAATTTTCTTCTAGATCTGCTGTACAGCCGAAACAAACTTTGTTGTATTATTTTCCTGTTATCACTCTAAAGCTGCTTTGAAACCACCCGTATTGTAAAAAGCGCTATATAAATAAAGGTAGCTTGACTTGACTTTATACAGAAATCCAAAAACCATAGTAATACAAGTAAACAACACATAGCAAAAAATATCTTTAAACCAGAACAGAAAATAGCATTCCAACTGAACAAGTCATTAAACCAGGAACGATTTTGCTCTGTATCACAGCAGCATGTGGGAAACCCCTTGTTGGGCCGCAAATGAGAGACGTGTGGCTCAAATGAGTCAGTACTAGCAAGGGGGATTCCACATGCACTGCCAGGATAATGTCTTAATATTGCTTTATGATCAAACTGCTTCGTTTCACCCACGACAGGTGATGAGTGCTTCTTCCTTGGCCGTTCCGTTTGTTTGGAGTTTGTTCCAAAGCTCCTTGTTCAGGATCCCATGGGTTTGCTTTTTACTTTTTCTTATAATTAGCCGTAGAAGCTTTGAGAGTGGAAGCCCAGCAAGGCATACAGAGCAAAATCAGCACGAGCCAGCAAAACTCCAACCAAAGACAGCTGTCTCCCATTTCAGAGATTTCACAGTCACAATGCTCCAGAACGCGCCGTCAGGATAAAAAACTCTCCACAACAAAATCAATGCTCGTTTATGTTCTTCTGTTTCTTACTTTTAGAGTAAATATGCAGTAGGCTATTACGTACATACAGTGGCCTCAAAAATGTTTTGGACTTTGAAGCCACTCTTAAAAATGAATGAATGACATTGCATTAGAGAAAAAATAAAGACTTCAGGGGGAATATTTTTCATTTTGAATATTGTTATAATTCAAGGCCTAGCAGATTTCCTTTTATTAAATGAAGAAGTCAGTGTGCTTGCACAACCTTTTTGGTTTTATGCTGTTGCAATGATCTAATGCAAACACTGTTAACCCTAACGCTAAAATAATTAATTGGTTTGAGTAGGTCCAACTTAAATTATACAAATTAGTTCCATCAAATTAACTTTTCATTAGTATAAAAGTATTTAGAACTTTCTATTTCTTTTGAGTTCACAAAACGGACACATTTTAAGTACGTTGAATTGTTTCATTGTTTTAAGTTCTATGAACTTATTTCTTTTAATTTAGACAAACTTAAATTTAACTGAAACAGGGCTGGGATTTCTATTTCCCAGCATGCTTTGCCATGACACTCAAAAGGGACAGTAAATATTTTGAACACTGCCAATGGGTTTTACTGAACACTCCTCTGTCTTCCATTAGTCAAACAGCCAAACAGATCAAAATAAACAGAGGGGGAATATTGAAAATGATATGTGATATTACTCACACTCATATCGTGTAAATCCTGTTTGATTTTAAACATTAAAACATTTACATATTACCTTTAAGTGTTTAAATACTTTGCTTGAGAGCACACTGTGTATTTAGAAAAAATGGAATGTGTTAGTTACAGAGAGATAGAGGGGTAGACAGAAAGAAACACTGAATTTTTTTTAACAAAAATAAAAAAAGACTAAAGAGGACTTGATGAGTCACGGCTCTTTTCTGATAGACTAATAAAAACACATTAGCCTCAACCAATAGATCAATAAACAGAACTTAGCATTCTACCAAAACGAACAAAACCTAGACGACACATTGCGTACATCAATAAAACAATGTAAACAGCAGTAGAGAACACAATGGGTGAAAAAAAAACAAAGTTTAAAAAAAAGCAGCAACGGGAACTTTGAAGGTTGAAGGAGCACTTTCTAATCACACAGCTGTGACTGGATTTTATTTGCAAGCAAAACTGCCGAGTGCCACCTGTCCGAGGCAAAAAGCACTATCAATAAGAGCAAGTAGTCAAAGCACACACACACACAATCCATCTGCCGCTTAGCATGCATGAAAGAGCACAGTGTGTGGGAGTGCCATAACAATGACACCTGCAGGCAAAAGGCTTTGCCACCAACACCACAGCAACCTCTAAAGACTCATTTGATTCACTAAACGCACTTCTTGTAAGTCTGATGACTTTACAGACATTTCACCCTTCAAGATCTGATTAAAATCAATATAGAACGGCTTTTGCAACCCATTTTACTTTCATAATGTCATGCATTTCCCAACGCAACAGGATATTCAATGAGGAAACTATAAAAACGGGGTGGGGTGGGGGGGGGGGGGGGGGGGGGTGTAGTACAAAACGTACACAACTAAGGACAATTGACGGGACTGTCACTGCACGTGGTTTTAAGCCTTCTGAATTTAAATATTCAAGCGCAAGAATTTTGAGTTCTCATTCACTTCTTCTAATTCACACAAAATGATATCAAAATGCCCGTCTTGGCGAGTATCCTTGTAAACATAGTCTATTACAATATGTCTTAAATGAACATAAACAGTTGAGAAATAAAACGCTTGTGTAACAGTATATTGGATCCGTGCTGCTCTTCTTAAAGTAACAGTAACCTAATATTCCTGCTGCGCTGCTGTTTCAATGTTAATCAAACAACAAAAGAAAAATAAATTATTCACTACTCTTGAATAAATAACTTTTGTAACTTTAATAAGGATTCATGTATATTTAATTTATACAATGAAGAATATACTTTATATATTTGATTACTTTATTTCTGTACCTAAAAACTACTGTTCGATCTACCTGAAAAGCACTGTTTATTTCATATGCATCTTTGTTCTGTTGGCCTGTTGAACGTTAAATGGATGCAATACAAGGTCAATAGAAATTATTTTACGATGCAGCAATAAACTAGCTATTATAACTTAATGCATGCGTTTTTGAAATTTGCTCAATTTGCTAAAAGCTTGTTTTGGAGTACACTAGCATATTAATGGCCTTAAAACTTAAAGACATGAATTAAAAGCCAAAAGAAACACATTTTAAATTCATATGTACTTTAATGTAGATGTTAAGTAAAAATAATAATGAAAATAGAGAAAGACAGGTGAATCAATCTGATAATGACAGTGAAATTGAAACCTGGCGAGAATCTACGTAGATGAGCTGCTGTACTGTTTGTACATAAAGCTGACACTGTATTCAGATCCGAAATCTAAAACTGCATGCAAATGTAGGTGACACAGATTAGAAAAGGTCACAATTCAAATGAAAGCCTAATGGTCTTTTGCAGAACACTGTCATTCATAAAGTTCATTGATGAGTTTGAGTGTGTCTGCAATTACATAGTTTTATCAGCTGTTTAGTTCAACTACTTTATCATGTTAATTTCAGATAAAACAATGACTCATGAATATGGAAATGGAATGAGAAAACAGCCATTTCATGTTGCACTTTTTGTCCGGTATGCATAATATTTGATCAAATATGCCAGACAAAAGAGCAACATATGTTTGAACACAAAGGCGACACACTCTTCAACAAAAGCGCCACCCGCACACTGAAAAAATAACAAAGAAAGGACAGTGAAGCTTTTCCTCTTATCTCCAAAATAATGCAAATTGTTGATGGTAAATTGTCGCCGTAGTTTGCCTCTCAGTGTGATTCAACAAACAATAAGCACAAAAACAGGTGACATATAAAAGCGATAGTAGACATGAAAACAACAAGTGGGTAGAATGAAAAGAAAATGTTGAGGCCTGATATCAAAAACATTTTCTTTCGGACTTTTATAGGTAATCTATATCCTAGTGTATTCTGTCAAGGCTATTCACGCATCCCTGCACTTTACATACACCTTACATAATGACATTTTCACACCTCATTCCTTGGTTAATAGTTAATAGTTCATTAATAGTTTTTGGTTTACAATAAAGAAAACCTTTTTGATTGGCATACACCTGTTGTTCGTGTCCCCTCATTTTTGCCACAGGCTATGAGCCGGCCTGTGACAAGAATATATTATATATATATACATATTATATCATAGAAATTGTAAAAGTACTATGCCAGCAGTAATACTTAAAAGAGCCATTAGATAGTTACAATGACCTCGTTTCTTCACCGCCTAGTGAAGACAAGTAATAAACTAAGTATTTAGTGTGTTCAACTCTAACTTCCCGTTTCAAAACATAACATGTTAACACAGGAAGGAATTTGAGAAGGAAGGAATTTCCTAGATTATACCTCATAATCTACACAGAAAATGTAAAAAAATTACAATGTTTACATGTTCCTGCAAATATACTAGGCAGAATATCAATCTTTTAGCACTTACCATGAGTCTTCTCCATGAAGATCACCTTTGAATCTGCGCTGAAGTTCTGGCCGGTGAGAATCATTTGCTGGCCTCCAAGAACCGAACAACCATCCATGTCCTGCTTCTCTACCATGGGCAGCTCGTGGGCAGACCTCTGGGCTATAGAGTCAAACAGGGAGAAAATACAGGATTTGGATGTTTGGACTGAATTTAATGTAACAGGTTTGAAGCCTAGTAAGAGTGGCCCACGAACTGAAGAGTTACTGAGACCCCTATTACAACTGTCCCCTTGAGCGTCACTTAACCCCTGCTTGGTCCACGAAATATTGATTCTGCAATCAACAAGTCACTTTGGATGAAAAACTGTCAGCTAAATGACAGATAAAATGTTTCCCAAAAAGGCACTTAACCTCAGGTTATTTTAAAAGGATAAAATAAAATTATGAAAAAAAATTTTTATAATAATTTATATTTATATATATATATATATATACACTGACCTAAAGGATTATTAGGAACACCATACTAATACTGTGTTTGACCCCCTTTCGCCTTCAGAACTGCCTTAATTCTACGTGGCATTGATTCAACAAGGTGCTGAAAGCATTCTTTAGAAATGTTGGCCCATATTGATAGGATAGCATCTTGCAGTTGATGGAGATTTGTGGGATGCACATCCAGGGCACGAAGCTCCCGTTCCACCACATCCCAAAGATGCTCTATTGGGTTGAGATCTGGTGACTGTGGGGGCCATTTTAGTACAGTGAACTCATTGTCATGTTCAAGAAACCAATTTGAAATGATTCGAGCTTTGTGACATGGTGCATTATCCTGCTGGAAGTAGCCATCAGAGGATGGGTACATGGTGGCCATAAAGGGATGGACATGGTCAGAAACAATGCTCAGGTAGGCCGTGGCATTTAAACGATGCCCAATTGGCACTAAGGGGCCTAAAGTGTGCCAGGAAAACATCCCCCACACCATTACACCACCACCACCAGCCTGCACAGTGGTAACAAGGCATGATGGTTCCATGTTCTCATTCTGTTTACGCCAAATTCTGACTCTACCATCTGAATGTCTCAACAGAAATCGAGACTCATTAGACCAGGCAACATTTTTCCAGTCTTCAACTGTCCAATTTTGGTGAGCTCTTGCAAATTGTAGCCTCTTTTCCTATTTGTAGTGGAGATGAGTGGTACCCGGTGGGGTCTTCTGCTGTTGTAGCCCATCCGCCTCAAGGTTGTGCGTGTTGTGACTTCACAAATGCTTTGCTGCATACCTCGGTTGTAACGAGTGGTTATTTCAGTCAAAGTTGCTCTTCTATCAGCTTGAATCAGTCGGCCCATTCTCCTCTGACCTCTAGCATCAACAAGGCATTTTCGCCCACAGGACTGCCGCATACTGGATGTTTTTCCCTTTCACACCCTTCTTTGTAAACCCTAGAAATGGTTGTGCGTGAAAATCCCAGTAACAGAGCAGATTGTGAAATACTCAGACCGGCCCGTCTGGCACCAACAACCATGCCACGCTCAAATTTGCTTAAATCACCTTTCTTTCCCATTCTGACATTCAGTTTGGAGTCCAGGAGATTGTCTTGACCAGGACCACACCCCTAAATGCATGGAAGCAACTGCAATGTGATTGGTTGATTAGATAATTGCATTAATGAGAAATTGAACAGGTGTTCCTAATAATCCTTTAGGTGAGTGTATATATATACACTCACCGGCCACTTTATTAGGTACCCCATGCTAGTAACGGGTTGGACCCCCTTTTGCCTTCAGAACTGCCTCAATTCTTCGTGGCATAGATTCAACAAGGTGCTGGAAGCATTCCTCAGGGAGTTTGGTCCATATTGACATGATGGCATCACACAGTTGCCGCAGATTTGTCGGCTGCACATCCATGATGCGAATCTCCCGTTCCACCACATCCCAAAGATGCTCTATTGGGTTGAGATCTGGTGACTGTGGAGGCCATTTTAGTACAGTGAACTCATTGTCATGTTCAAGAAACCAATTTGAAATGATTAGAGCTTTGTGACATGGTGGAAGTAGCCATCAGAGGATGGGTACATGGTGGCCATAAAGGGATGGACATGGTCAGAAACAATGCTCAGGTAGGCCGTGGCATTTAAACGATGCCCAATTGGCACTAAGGGGCCTAAAGTGTGCCAGGAAAACATCCCCCACACCATTACACCACCACCACCAGCCTGCACAGTGGTAACAAGGCATGATGGTTCCATGTTCTCATTCTGTTTACGCCAAATTCTGACTCTAACATCTGAATGTCTCAACAGAAATCGAGACTCATCAGACCAGGCAACATTTTTCCAGTCTTCAACTGTTCAATTTTGGTGAGCTCTTGCAAATTGTAGCCTCTTTTTCCTATTTGTAGTGGAGATGAGTGGTACCCGGTGGAGTCTTCTGCTGTTGTAGCCCATCCGCCTCAAGGTTGTGCGTGTTGTGGCTTCACAAATGCTTTGCTGCATACCTCGGTTGTAACGAGTGGTTATTTCAGTCACTGTTGCCCTTCTATCAGCTCGAACCAGTCTGGCCATTCTCCTCTGACCTCTGGCATCAACAAGGCATTTCCGCCCACAGAACTGCCACTCACTGGATGTTTTTTCTTTTTCGGACCATTCTCTGTAAACCCTAGAGATGGTTGTGCGTGAAAATCCCAGTAGATTAGCAGTTTCTGAAATACTCAGACCAGCCCTTCTGGCACCAACAATCATGCCACGTTCAAAGTCACTCAAATCACCTTTCTTCCCCATACTGATGCTCGGTTTGAACTGCAGGAGATTGTCTTGACCATGTCTACACGCCTAAATGCACTGAGTTGCCGCCATGTGATTGGCTGCTTAGAAATTAAGTGTTAACGAGCAGTTGGACAGGTGTACCTAATAAAGTGGCCGGTGAGTGTATATATATATAATGCTGTGATTTTTGCTTGGGATGGCCTACATTTAAATTGCTTACTAAATTATACAAGCCATAATAAATAATAATAATAATAAACTATGATGTTAGTATGCAAGTCATTCAACAGATTATGAAGATATCATATCAAGATATCAAAATCTCTGGGAATTCATGCATTTTTAATTTGCATTGGAATTAAGAGGCTCTTAACTAGGACAATTAGCTAAATTTGCTTCGCCCAAATTGACATTAAGCCATGTAAACAAACAGGCAGGGTGATCCAGTATATTAAACGCCCTCTTTATTTATTCTAGGCTGAAGGAGTATTAAATTCTGTTTTACAAGATGATGAAGTTTGTTGTCACAATATTAAGGACATGTACTCATGAAACTTATCTATGATATAATATCCGCAACAGCAACTTTGATTAAAACAAATACGAGTGACCTTTAGACAGACGAGTGGCGCGCCGTAATCTGAATTAATGAAGCGTACGCTCTCCTCTTAAATAATACAGCTTGCTACCTGAGAACAGGGTGAGATACAGTACGTCTACAAATAGAGCAATGATATCTCAGTGCCTGACAGAAAAGATTTAACTTCCTAATACAGAAACAGTTTATCAGGATCATTTTAAATTCATTCCTCTTTTGCTCCGTTCAACTTGGTTTGCATCAAACGAAACCTAACCGAGGAGGAAGCAGAGCAACCAGACAGAGCGACAGAATTACATGTAAGACAAAGCCACCTGATATCTGATAAGAGCATGACAAATATTCACATATACTTCAACCTAAACCCATATTACAACATTCAGTCGCTGAACCCGTCAGGTTTAAGCCATCAAGAAGAAAGTAAATAAGGCCCATTTTTATTTCATTTTATATTACGGGCTTGGAACGACATGAGGGTGAGTCATTAATGACATCATTTAAATTTTTGGGTGAACTAACCCTTTAACCTGTTAACTGTCACCCCCCTTTTTTTGAATTGACATGAAAATGCACATTTCGAACATAAATGGTTGTAATTCAAGAATGCTTTGGAATATAGACGTAAGATTGGTCTTGTTTTATAGAAGACATTTGGCAGATTTATGTAGAAGTGAAATAAATTAAGAAAGTGAAACAGAAAAAAAGTTATAGAAGTTTGAGTTTATGGAAATGTACAATGTAAAAAAATTAATTATTCATATTTTATATAAAATATATATTTTCAAAACCTGGGCTACTCTAAAACTGCAGAGAATTCAAAGCCAAAAATCTGAACAAGTTGTGTTTCAAATTTTAGGTTGATATCTCAAAAAAATGAGCTTTCAGTAAGATTTTGTTTGGGCGCAGTACCAAACTTTTTCACTAGGTCACAACCAGACTCCATTACTGCCCATATAAGGGCGCCTCCATTTCCAAATGTGTTTTGAGTGATATGAACCATTATTTCCACAATTTTCATACAATTTATGAAGTAGAGATCCTATTCAGAAGTAGTATGGGAAAGTTTGGCAGATTTTGATATGAATTCAACCTCTAATAAACACATACAAAGAACACGCATGTGCGTCATAGCTCGCTGCCACATCACAAATGGTGAATTTATTATTTTTTTCTTTATATTTTAAACATTTTCAGACCTTTTTTTCTAAAATAATTGAATGGATGCTATCTTTTGAACTCTTGGCATGAAAACAAACTAGGTTTCTACAATTTTTTTCATGATTTTTCATGTTCATTGCTATTTCAAAATAAAGGTCTGAACACGCCTTAGGAGTATGAAAATATTATTGTTGCAAATTGATAAATTACGGCTCCTCTGTAATTTATTTTGAAAATCAATCACCAAATATGGAAACTAGAGATTGTAAGCTTTCAAATGATATATAGTTTGTCAATATTACTTAAGGTTTTAACTAAGATATTATTGTTTTAAAAATATAATGGCAAACGTCCCACCTGTGGGACGGTTAACATTCAAGCATGGAAACCTATTCTAGTAGATACCTACTCTAGCAGAACCTATTCTTTGTAAAAGGGCATAATAAGACTCCTTAAAGTCTAAATTTACTCACAGCATTCAATGGGATGCGAAGCAACTTGCAGAGACAAATGTTGACCTCCTTGCTGGGGAATATGAATACGAAATACCAGTCGAACACGCGTGTTTTTACGCCCAATGTCCGTCTCGCCTTTCCGCAGCTCGATGTCTGCATTCCGCAGCTTGAGAATCCCGGCACAATCAATTCTGAGAAGCATTAAAAAGCCATTTCTACCATGTTAGTATCCACATTTAAAACCAAAAAAGTGGAAACCATCATGCTAAATGCATTTCTCTGAAAGAACCATCATCCATAAAGCGTACTCACATTGCTTTCATATTATTCTTTGGCTCAAGAGGAATTTCCAAGACTTTGGTGCCGTTGATGATCTTCTCGTAGCTGGTGGTGGTGACGGTTTTGCCGGTAATGCGATGGACCTGATAGAAAGCGTGAGGCTTCAGGATTCGCTCGTCTGCCGTGCCAATAAAGATCTGCAAACCAAGCGGCTCCTTGCCCCTGTATCCACGTAACTGCACACAGAAAAGTGCAAAAAGTCACATTTTCTATTTGAATGTATTTTAAAATGTAATGTATTCCTGTGATCAAAGCTGAATTTTCAGCATCATTACTCCAGTATTCAGTGTCACATGATCCTTCGGAAATCATTCTAATATGCTGATTTGATGCTCAAAAAATATTTCAGTTATGCTGCTTTATATCTTTGTGGAAACCATGATAGATTTATTTTTTGATGAATAACACATACAACAATTAACACTCACCAAGCACCAAATGCGAGTAAAAGTTTAGCGGCTTTAGCGAGTGTATGAAACGGCGTCACTCGCCAGTTGGCCGGTAACATTTTTATTCATTCTAACAATACATGAACGTGAACAAACGTGATCGATGCTCGGGACAGTTGACGGGCGAGCGCTGCATCGTCACCAAAGTTTAAGCCTCGACAATATTCAAGATAACGCCAAAGGGAGCTCATTTCGTTACTAAATTGCAAATAATAAACTGAGCTCTCTTTCACGTTTTCTTGCACTTGAGCGGTAGCCTGGATGCCAGCCCGGTGTTGCCCACAACATTTTTTGATCGGGAAGTTCGGTCTGGACTCGCTCCATTGAGGAGTAATTATGATCGGTTCAGAAATCGTCGGGCCAATCAAATTGCCAGGGCGGGCTTTATACGATGATGGACAGATGATCTGCAGGGACGTAATTCTCACGTTATCAAAGAGCGCTTGGGTTGAACTGGTTTCCCTCACAGATGACTGCCGCTGGAGAACTGAGATGTAGAGATCCCGCTATCGCGTCCGTTGTAAAAGAAATCGACAGCGCATTCATTTTTAAAAGACGAACAGAGAACTGCAATCAAGGCATTTGTCGATCGGAAAGATGTGTTTGCCGTCCTTCCTACGGGATTCGGCAAAAGTTTAATTTATCAGCTGGCTCCGATGGTAACTAAGAAGATGGGACGCAATGAAAACCCTGTGGTCGTTGTGGTTTCTCCTTTGGTCGCACTCATAGAGGGCCAAGTAAAAGAAGCAACACTCGTTATTTTACTTCTTCCAGCGTGCGTGCATTTGAGTTCTGTAGTTGACAACTGTGCTATGCAAAGTAGTTGACTTACTGCGTTGCTCTCATTGGTTGTAGGTCTATCCAATTGAGTGCAGAGTTTTTTTTTTCCTGGTTCGGTTAAGACACGCCTCATAATCAAAGCCCTATGAAGCAATATCAGACTCACATTCTGACTAGAATATGAGTATGACGAAGTCAGGCTACTTGAGCGGACAAATTCACACAAAATTGTCAAAACATAGCGAGTATACTAGTAAACATAGTCGGTTATGTCTTAAGTGAACGTAAACAGTTGAGAAAGTAAACGCATGTCATCAGTATCAGTATATCAGATCTGTGTGTCAGGTCTTAAAGTGACAGTAGCCTAATATTCCTGCTGCTGTCTATTTTTAATGTTAATCAAACAACAAAGGACAAAGAAAAAATCTCACACTGCTTTTGATTGAATAACATTTGTAACTTTGATTAATTAATCAGGATGTTTAATTTATACAATGAAGACTATGCAGTGTTATTTTGCATTTGCTTTATTTCACTATCTTTGTTATATTGTATTTATTTGTACTTTTGCTTATAATTTGATCATTTGTTTTTTATTGTACTACTGACTGTTTGCTTGTCTTTAATGTTTTAAATTTATATTAGTTAGGCTAGCAGTTTTAGCTGTAGTATCGAATTTGGAATAGAAAATTGTGAATTTGTACTGTGATCTAAAATCTTGGTGTCATTACTGCCTATGGCTGGTAAAATATATTTATGGCAAAAAGTTAGTTTTAGGCCACATACATATATATATAAAATAGTGCAGCCGGAGCAACTATTTTAACGAAGGTCTGCTCTCCTGGTTGGGAAGCACAGACCTGCGGGAAACATTAGCATCTCCGGAAACCTTGAACACAAGCCAGAAGGGTGTGTGCAGTCTGCAAACGTCTTCCCTCCACCGATTCATCTCCTTCAAACTCTACAGGAAACCCGTGAGTCAATCGCAAGCTCTGACTGTGGCAACGTTTGTGGCCTGGGTCCTTCCAGTGTCAGTTGATTGATTGTGGAAGATAAATTCTTAAATTCAAATCAAAAACTGAATTAGTCTGGTATGGCATTCTGGAATCCACACAGTATTAAACCCTCAGGGATGTCCACAGTGCCAAAATGGTTTATGCATATGCAGATGAATGTGAAATTGCACAGATGCATCTTAGTTTGTGTCTAAATTCCTGCACTGAAGGTTAATATTTCAGAAGGGCTTTCAAATCCTGTTCGACACAGAGGCAAATGGGTCACATTTTCATATGCAAAACATGGCATGCCCAATGAGAAAAACAACTCTGGCCTTGTCATTTTGTTGTAGATGAGTTAGATAATGTGCACAACAAAACAGGCTTTCTTTAGCTACCTTAACTACATGCGTTTCACAAAGATGTTTGGAGAACGTAATTTAAGGGGCTTTATAAATAAAGGGCTTTGTGCAGGGAAAAATACCAGGTTTGATATAATACGAGGGCGAAAAAGCTACTTGATAATTTATCGAGCTTACCTTTTCTATTGAAACAACTTGAGGTTAACTAATTGTAGGGACAATCCCTGCAATTAAAGATAAATGCATTGCTCAAGGGCACTTTGATGACAAAGCAATGATGATCACTTTTACTTGATATTGAACCTGCAACCCTTGTAAATGGCAGGTCATATCTTTGAAAATCCCAACCTCGGTTTTCTTTTCTGTTGATATATTTCCTTCTGAAATAGACAGTCTAGAGCATGCCATATCGAATGTCTCACTTTTGTTAAATAACTAACTAACTGAGTTTGTCAAAGCCACACATGACCAATTGTATGATAAATGAAAGCACTATAGGCACTATCAAAAAATACACTTCAGCACTTCATTTGCAAGTGACTGATTGTAGAGAAAAATGGACCATTGTTACTACGGTCTCATTTTGCAGTTTACTGAAAATATTTAAATCACCATGACAAGATTGCACAAGCAGAGTCATGTGAATACTGAAAGCAGATGACACAAAAAAGCAGGTAACACATTTGATGTGCACTCTTAAAAAAACGCGTCTACATCGGAAGGAAGTGTGCAGAAACCACAGAGCATGAAGATGCAGCTAAATTTACTCTGGATATCAAAAGCGCAGTGAGCAGGGCATGTGTCAACATTACAAATGCATGTTTGGTGGACAAAGGTGGGCTAAAAACAATGGTGCATCTGATAAGAGGATGAAATGTGTGTGTTTGGAGCATTGCAGAGAGTTTAGTAATAGTACAGTAAACTGATCTCTAATTGCCTCTTTATATATGAAGAGTTCAGAAGCAAAAGCCTCTAAGTGCCATCTGAAATTTTCTTCTAGAATGATCATTTTTATCAAGCTTGTTTATTTAAGTTCAATAATTTCACTTAAATGACAATTAATAGGTCATTTTCATAGCCATTTAAGTGAAATTACTGAACTTAAATATACAAGCTTGATAAAAATGATCATTCTAGAAGAAAATTTCAGATGGCACTTAGAGGCTTTTGCATCTGAACTCTTCATATATATATTTATAAGAGAATATGATAAGCCCAGCTTAAAAGCAACATCTGAGAAAGACAAATCATAAAATAGATGTCTTTAATAACTCTATTTCTTCTAGGCAGCGATGAGATTAAATGGAGGGCAAACTGACACGTTTGCTTTAGTCTCCTGCTTCTCAGTTATTTCCAGTGTTTTGTGGAATGCATATTAATTACTGTAATTTAATTACTTGTCCCTTGAAAAAGTAAAGTAAAGAAAAAGTTTAGTTACAGCTATTTCTGATGTAATTGCATTAAATCTGCATAGGCTCTAGAACGATTCTATATGAAACAATAGTGGATTTAACATCAAAATTATTTTAAATATGCCATCCAAATAAATGTAACATATTTTTTCTAAGACTGAATATCACAACATTGTACTACGAAACATATCTGAGTCATATTTTATCGCAAAATAAACACATAAAAAATAAATAAAAGAATCAATCAATAAACAAATAAACAAAGATAGCATTAAATAAATAATAAAATAAAATAAAACTGAAATAAATAAAACATTTGTACATAAACAAAACATTAATTAAAAACATAAATAAATAAATAAACCATAAACAAATAAATAAAGCAAATTAATAAAACAGAAACAAATAAAACTATAAATAAATAAAACACTAATAAAACCAATAAAACATACAAAAATAAAATAAACAAACACATAAATAAAACAGATAAAACAAACAAACAAATAAAAACAAATAAAACACACATACATAAATAAAACCAATAATTAAAACATGCATAAAAAACAAATAAACTAAATTCTAAAATATTTTTTTATTATATTTTTAAACAACCTGTGACTGTAATAGTATATTATTAATAATATTAATAGTTTTAGTAATAACAATTTATTAATATTTAACAAATATTAATAATTTAGAAAAACTTTTTAGTAATAACATGTTGTTTGATTGATTAAGACAGCTGAATTCCATAAATACTGTCGTTCTGCATGAAACGTCTAAACGTGTCTCTTTAAGACACAGGTGAGTGAGTCTGGTAGGAGAGCTGGGCCTCATGAAGTGGGTAAACACGGCCGTTTCCATGGGCCATCTGAGAACCTGGTTGCCATGGCAGCTGGCGAGCGGTGAGTCAGTCGTGAGGTCGGAAAAGTAAAGTAGAGGAAGGAGCAGTCCTGAGTAACTCCCCGCCACGTGATTGGCCAGCGACTGGCTGCACTGACCACAGCGAGCGCCAGGGAATGGAAAGCATTAAACATTTTGGCTTTGCCAAGGCAGTCTGCAATCTTTACCCAGAGCGCTGACATCGGAAGGATGCTGGCCGCTCCGCTAACAAGACCATTAAAGATGGTTTACACTGAGAGAGCAAAAAGCAACAAGAGGGCTTTCAAATAAACTGTTACCAGAGCAACATCAAACTTTAAGTGGTAAACAAACTGAGCAATATCATGTGTCTTCAGGATACAGCTGCCATTACTGCGTCTGTAAAACCTCTGGACAAACACAACTTCCTGAAGAGTTTGAAGCAACATGAAAGCAAATCAAAAAGCAGTAAATAAAAATACCTTCTGCTCTAAAACCCCAAAGACTCTATGATAAAAATCTAAAAATAAAAACCATGAATAATAACAAAAAATGTAATTAAAATACAATAAATAAATAAAAAGTAATATATATATATATGATAAATAAAATAAAATAAAAAATAACTAAAAACTAAATAAAACTAAACTAAAATAAAAAGGTAAAAGTAATGCATATAAAAAAAATTAATTCTATTAATAAAGAAAAATTGTAAAAAAAAAAAAAAAAAAAATGTATGTAATAACAATAAAATAAAATGCATATAACATTAATACAAATAATACAATTAAAAAATATATATTTATAATATATTTTTAAATAAAATAAATTCTTGTTCTGGGTGCTTGCTAGGTAGTTAGTAACTAACCAAGTCTCTAATGATTTTTAGTCCACACTCATGACTTAAAAATCCACATTATTTGAGTTTGTTTTATTCATGTATGTGGCATAAACAGTGCTGAACGAGTCACGAGCTGACGTTTAAATAATTAGGATCGAGATTTATCTGTAAGCACGTCTGTAAGCATGCACAAGTAATGAAAGAGTGCATTCATTTGTGTGAGGGTGGATAAACGATTGGACAACACACAGAAGGGCAGAGGGCCATTTTCATAGGCCTGACCCTGGGGCAAAATCACCTCACGCTGCATAATGACAAGGAAATACCTTCACACGCACGTCTAGAAGACAGATCGAACACCCACCTGGACCACAGTGTGACCTCCAGTAGGGGCTTTGACCGCCCCTCGGCTGCCCTCGGTCTCGTAGTGGGCTCTGTGGTGGGGTTTGGGCTGCACCTCCACGTGGAGCTCGTACTGATCGCTGCGGCTCGGTAGGGGCCACTCCAGGGGGGGCACGGAAGCCACGGGGATGCTGGGAGAGATGAAAGATGATAGTCATGCTCATTTGCTTCACATATCCGATTTGTTGCATGACTAGAGCAGCAGGTGCATGAGGGTTTTACAGATTGTGTCGCCTTATATATGTCATAAGAGTGTGTGACTGATAACAGATCAAACTACACACAACGAATACATGTTTTTGTACTTGGAATTAAGATCAAAACAAGTTTGGGGTCAGCAAGATTTTCTTTTCTTTTCTTAAAAAAAATTTTTTTAATCTTTTATTATTTAAAATTGGCAGTAAAGACATTTATACTGTTACAGAAGACTTCCATTTCAAATAAATTGTTCTTTTCGACTTTCAAAGAAAGCTAAAAAAAGATATGAAGCAGCACAACTGTTTTCAACACTGATAATAATAATAAGAAATGTTTCTTGAGCATCATCATATTTGAATATTGTATACAGTAATGTAATTACTGTATACAAGTAATGATGCTAAAAATTCCCAGGAATAAATGACATTTTATAATATATTTTAAATTGTAATAATATTACTGTTTTTACTGTATTTTTAATCAAATAAATACAGTTTTGGTGAGCATAAGAGACTTTTGAACAGTAGTGTACAATTTTAAGAATTTTTCACATTTATTTTAATCTGCACTGGCCAATAACCATGCTTGCTCAGCTGATTGACAGCTTTGTCAACAGATAATAGATAAAAAATATTACACATTTTTAAATAAATACTTTAACTAGAAAATATAGTACCTTTCACACACAAATCATTTGTAGGTGCACCGGATAAAAGTCCAAAATAAACTTCTGCACACTACTAAGGAACACTGAGCAATGCCTGGTACACATTGTAAGATTTTGGGCTGTCCCAGACGAAAGATGACCAATCGTGGCGATTTCTGTGGTCAAGGCTCCTAAACTGTGGTCCCATGTCGTACAGTGAGAGAGGTTCAATGATGGCCGTTGTCATGGTCTGGCGACCAAAGATAGCCTGAGACAATTGTCTAACAGTGTCAGAAATCCAGCATGATCATCTCACAGTGTGTTTGCTTCTACGACCTACGTCTACCGACTAGCCAATGAAAACGCAACATGAAATGGCGTATTGATCAGAGAGACATGGCGCTAAAACATAAAACTACTTACCTCAAGCTTCATTTGCAAAATCTTTGGCCTCTTTTCCCTAGCCATGACCACATCCATATTCTCCTCTTTCGCTTCCTCCTCTTTTTTTCAGTGCACATAAAAACCACAATTGCTAAAGTGCGATTTATCTTGCCCTATTTGTTTACCACTAGCTCATGCTGAAGACACTTGCCTTGCGTCGTAGCCTACGATTCAATAGGTGTCTGCATACATATCGTAACCAAGTTTATTAGATCCATGTCGTACAGTGTGATTTGTAATGATCTTATAGGTTTTCTAAAATCGTCTTTAGAAAGCATAACCCTGAAGAAGGTCGATTAACCAAAACGTTGCAAACAAAATTTTGTAATGACGCATGTTTGAGTAGTGTGCAGGATTTATACATTTTTTTCAAGCTATAATGTTAATAACAGGTATTGTTTGAGGATCATTTATTTTCATTCAATTGTATTATGTATACATATGCATATCGGTCATCGTTTACCCAGCTTTCTAGACTGGTATTGGTATTGACACCCAGGGTTAAAAATACAATGAAAAGACTTAAAGGGCAAATATAGACATCATTTACCAATCTGCAGTGGCTGACAAAAGGCAAAAAAATATAAGGTTGTGTCACTCTACAAGCAAACCCTGCATAGAAAGAAAATGATGACAATTTTTACCTGCATATGCCAGGCACCAGCTGTTTAGGCCAGATTTGAGGGATTACGAAGAAAGATTCAGGGCCAGGTTTGGTCTTCATGTCCTGGTCACATGACACCAGGTAACTCTCAGTGTGGTTGTCAGGGTAGAGCGGGTAGGCCTGCTGGTTAGTCTTCACGATCTTGGTTGGAATGGAAGTAGCCTGGCCAACGCCGAACCCATTCATGGACCCTGAGAGGTTATTTGAGCCATAATGGCCGGCGTGATGCTCTTCATGGCCACCGTGGGGTGACGGGCTGCGTGATCGGGCCACCGGCACCAGGTTGGGGTTCCTGTACATCTCGTAGGTGCGTTTGCATAGAGGGGAGGTGGAACGCGAGCCGGGCCGGGGGGAAGGAGAGCGCGGCCCAACACAGCCGTCCTCGGCCAGGCTGGTTCGTGGAGAAGTGCCCGGACTGGTTCGAGGGGAGCCCGTGTGGACGCCCTGAAGTCGTGGGCAGAGATCTCCAGTCGCCTGGCTGTTGCTGGGCGAAACGCAGGGCGAGGCCCAGGGCGAGAGGTTTTCCGAGTGCCAGGAGGTGGATGAGTTGCTGCTGGCGGGACTCAGGCACTGCGGCTCCCGGTAGGCCAGAGGATCGTGACCGGGAACGGTGAGCCCGGGACTGGGGTTCACGAGATGGTTCTGGAGGGAGTCTCGACCATGACTATAGTGCTCGCGGGAGGGAGTAATCTCAATCCGGGGGCTCAGTGCCTGGTTGGGTCTGGCGTACTCCAGGTAGTTCTTTGCCTCCAGTTGCTCGTAGCCAGAGAGACCTTCAGTGTTGACCTCTGCGTAGGAAGACGCACACGGCTTGATGCCGTACTGTGAAGCTTCCACCAGAGGATAGGACAGGCTGGCAGGAGAGATGAGATCTTTGTCGGAGGAGATGCTTTGCTCATCTATAACAGCAAAAGAATGAAAGTGGTTAAGAGTGTCCAAAAACTCAAACACTGCTGTCTGTGTCTACTATTTAAAGGGGACCTATTATGCCCTTTTACAAAGTCTTGATTTTGTTTTCGGGGTCTGCTAGAATAGGTTTTCATGCTTGGATATTGAAAAACACATTCTTTTTCACATATTTGACATTGTTGCAGTTCCTCTCTTCCCGCAGTTTGTCAGTAACGCTCTGGGGTGCGTTTCCTAAAAGCATCTTTGGCCAACTATGATCGCAATTTCCATTGAACTCTATTGGTAACGACAGAACTTGTGACCATAGTTGGCTTTGGGAAACGCACTCCTGTTTAGGCCCCGTTTACATGAAGGGAAAACGCAGATATTTCCCTACGGTTTGGCCTCTCATTTACACGAAAACCCCGTTTTTATCACAGAAAACGATTATTTCTAAAAACTCCAGCCAAAGTGGAGATTTCTGAAAACGCCGGTTATGTGTTGTCGTGTCAACTGGGGGAAACGAGGTTTTAGGGTCTCTCTTGTCGATTCTGAGGATTCTGATTGGCTTGCATGGCTTTATCCTTCGCCCTACACTGCCGCCCATAGGTTTGGCATAGTTATGATGGCGCTCGACGGCGTATTCATGCGGGTGTGTGCACGATGTTATTATTGAAAACGGAGGGTGGGTAAATATTCGTTTCTCTAAATACCCGGCTTTGTGTAAACGTGGCCTTAGTTCCTGTCTCTATGAAGCCCCTCTTTCCAAAAAGCACAATCTGCTCTGATTGGTCGGCTGGATCAGTGTGTTGTGATTGGTCAACCGCTTCGAGCATGTTTGGGATATGTCCCACCCCTTACCATAACCGTGAGATTAAACACACTACTAATGCAACTCAACCAGGCCTCGTCCCCGTTACTTACGTATGCTTTAGGCGGGAATTATTTAAATTAGGAATATTGTGGCATGTTCGTTCCCGGAAGAAAGCTCAAGACTCTCGAGTCGTTAGAACTTTAGAAACAGTTACTGATATTTAAGTCACAAGTCACACGGGTATATTTGTGGCAATAGCCAACAATACATTGTATGGGTCAAAATTATCTATTTTTCTTTTATACCAAAAATCATTAGGATATTAAGTAAAGATCATGTTCCATTAAGATATTTAGTAAATTTCCTACTGTAAATATATAAAACATTTATTTTTGAGAGTGAATGCAGCACAATCGTGAACTAAAATTTAAAGACGATTTTCTCAATGTTTCGATTTTTTTGCACCCTCAGTGCATGATTTCATGATTACTTTAGGTTGAAATAATGCGGGCTGAAACATATACCATCGATTAACGAACTTTGTAGCTCATAGTAGGCCTATCTTTAAAGAGTTACACGTTATTGTTAAAAATCAATTCCCCTATGGAGAAAATTAATAGGATTTTTACTTCCAAACCTGATTTTTACACTTTTGGCAGTCCAGTCAACTGGCAACCTTGTTCTGGTTCATTTCATCGCATTACATTGTGAGATATAGTTTTCTACATTGTGTGCTTTGTTGCATAGGCCTACTACACATTTTGAGAAATGTAGTCATTCATTCTATGGAAAATTTGCATTCTGTTATTTATCACATGCCCTATTTTGGTATAACTTGTGATGTTGTGTTAGCAAGTTCAATTTCAAATGTCATTACCATCACACACAACATCAAAACTTTACACCGAGTTAGCTAGCTGTCAATTAATTAGCTGTCAATTAAAAAAACAAAGAAATTGATGACACCGTCACCTACTGCTACTTTCGATAATGTAAGTTAATCTAAGAAATTAATTACATTTCCAAACTGTCCTTCTGTTGTCCTGGACGAGATGAGCACTCCTGTCATTTCCATCATAACCAAATTTTAAGTGTTTTTGGAGAAATGCAATTGCTGTCTAAAATGTCTGGTGTGATGGTAATGACAGCAGTATTTTGGACAGTGATTGTTTGTTATTTAAATACTAATTTCAGATATAAATCCCAAAAGAATCTAAAAAATATTAAATAAATACATTTAACAATAATTAGAATAATATATAATAAAAATTAGGTATTAAAATATTACTAAATATAAAATATTTTTAAATCATCACAAGGGAGCGTTTCTGTCCCCATGTATCTTTGATTAAGGTATTATAAGCTATTAAATCAAATTCACACATACATACAAACAGTAGCTATTTCATGCTAATGTCTTCTTTTGCAATAGTTTAAACAGCCAGACATCATTATGCTGCTCATTCTATTCTTCAGCACATATTTTATACAGAAGTTCAGTGAAACAAACCTTGAAGTCCCGTGGTGGTTCCATACTCAAAAAGATAGTCAAACTCCAGCTCATCCTGACAGTTCACCTGACTGAGCTCCTCAGCCAGCCCTATCGCAGCCTTATCGCCGTAAAAAGAGCTCATCTGTCTCAATCTGATTTATTTACACCACAACAACTTCAGAAACGTGTCGAGAGAACGCCGGCTGTTGTGCACGCGGGGATTTGAGCACCCAAACGCATGAATGAGAACGAACGACAGACAGACGTGAAATAGTGCAAGTTCAACTTCCGCCTTAAACTTCACTCACACCCCCATTTACACAACCGGCGACAGAAACAGCTTCCAGTGAACAGCACGCGTTCCGAATGGACGCAACTGAACGCGTTTAGTGCGTCGCGTCGCTCGTGTGTGATGGAGTGACAGTTTGAGAAGGTTTGTCTGTGTGTTTGTTGTAGCATGATATATTCTGTCAATCATGAGGTGATAAAGTGGTTGACACGCGCCTCCTGTTGACAGACAATAGTTATAATAACTGCGACAACAAAAGCAACTCGCTCTTGATCACAGTTTAACATCCGGGCGGGTGTGAAATGAATCCCAGCTTCATCCCGTAAGAACTGCTGCCCCCGGGTGTTCATCACTACACAATGATCAAAACAACTATTTGTAACTGTAGGCCTTTTTTTAGAATTGTAACTTGAGGTCACTGTTATCAAACTCAGTCGCCTATTATTCATGAACCTGTATTATATCAAACTCCTTTCCGCCTCTATCTATCTATCCATCTATCTATCTATCTATCTATCCATCATCTATCTATCTATCTATCTATCTATCTATCTATCTATCTATCTATCTATCTATCTATCTGCCTGTCTGTCTGCCATCTGTCTATCCATCTATCTGTCTATCTATCTGTCTGCCATCTATCTGTCTGTCTGTCTACCATCTATCTATCACTGCATGTCTATCTGTCTGTTTGCCATCTATCAATCTATCTGTCTATCTATAGTTATCTATCTATAGCTGCATGTCTGTCTGTCTATCTATCTATCTATCTATCTATCTATCTATCTGTTTGTCTATCCATCCATCCATTCAACCGTTTATCTATCTATCTATCTATCTATCTATCTATCTATCTATCTATCTATCTATCTATCTATCTATCTATCTATCTGTCTCTGTCTGTCTGTCTGTCTGTTTGCCATCTATCAATCTGTCTGTCTATCTATCTATCTATCTATCTATCTATCTATCTATCTATCTATCTATCTATCTATCTATCTATCTATCTATCTATATCTGCATGTCTGTCTGTCTATCTATCTATCTATCTATCTATCTGTCTGTCTGTTTGTCTATCCATCCATCCATCCATTCAACCGTTTATATATCTGTCTGTCTGCCTATCTGTCTGTCTGTCTATCTATCTATCTATCTGTCTGTGTCTGTCTGTCTGTCTGCCTGCCATCTATCTATCTGTCTGTATGTCTTTCTGTCTGTCTGCATCTATCTATCTGTCTGTCTGCCTGTCATCTATCTATCTGTCTGTCTGCCTGTCTATCTATCTATCTATCTATCTTTCTATCTGTCTGTCTGTCTGTTTGCTATCTATCTATCTGTCTGTCTGTTTGTCATCTATCTATCTGTTTTTCTGTCTATCTGTCTGTCTGCCATCTATCTATCTATCTATCTGTCTGTCTGTCTGTCATCTATCTATCTGTTTTTCTGTCTATCTGTCTGTCTGTCTGTCTGTCTGCCATCTATCTATCTATCTATCTATCTATCTATCTATCTATCTATCTATCTATCTATCTATGTATCTATCTATCTATCTATCTATCTATCTAAACTTTATTTTGGAATTTTATCTTGTGGCCTATTTTACATGAACACTTATTATTTCTACCCACTTTCTGCCCATATCAGAAGCCTCGATCCTATTCTGACCCGGAGTTTATTTTATTTTGGGAAAGGATCTAAGACTCACAGTTATTCCAGACAAACCCACACTCTTATAGATCCAAATGACAGAATGTGATTATTTACATAGTGGCAGTATCTAGGGTTATTAAACATTACCTGAACTTTCCATTGCAGCATGATCTACGGATAGCCAAGGAGCCGGGGTTTTATGTAACTAATGATATTCAATAAGAAATCAGACTGACATTTCATGTTTTGTGCATCACAGACAATGACATTTCAGGCATTCTGTTCAAACACCTCAACTACTGCATCTCCTCTCTTTGAAGAAACTCACTTCATACACACGCACAAATAAAAATCAAAGAGAAATCATTTGCCATGTGTCTGACAAATGAAAGCAACTTAATATAAAATATCCACAAGTTCTTAACACTAATAATATGGTTTGCATAATAAATCTAACATAAAAGCATTCAAATTTCATTCATTCCCAAATGGATCTTATAAGAGCAGAATAAATGGTTAAATTCTGATGTCATCGAGAGTTCCCTCATGACGCAATTACTATACTGAACATCTTTCTCTATTCTTTACATTACAAATTAGTTCATTTAATTTACATTGTGTTCAAATCATCAACAGTTTTGGCATAAGAAAACGTTAAAAATCAAATTATTGATTACCAGTAATTCACAACACTTCAGCACGCGCGCCATCCATACCTTGATCCATCGACCTCATGCTGTGGTAGTGCATCAGTCTCCAAGACTCTCTAAACATTTGGAAAATATATCAAAAAAAAAAAAAAAAAGTCAAAAATTAACAGTCAAAAAATAGCCTTTCCTTAAAGTTCATAGCAGAAAAAAAATCTGGATGAAAGTAAAAAAGCAAATCCTCCGTTGTGAGTGTGAAAACGAGTGTTGTGCAGTATAGCAGAGCTCTGTGTGGTATAAAGTCCTTCTCCTGCTCCGAGGATTGACTTGAGCTTCAAGAGCGGCTTCCTTCCCCGGCTCTGGGTGTTTATAATGGGCCAATGCTGTAAAATAACGGGATTCCCTCAGTGTTTCCTCCTGTTTGTGCGCTCTGCCATGGAAACCTGGAGCGGCTCCATCTCAGAGACTCAGGGCTTTCCTGCAGAGCGCACTCAGGAATCCATGACGTCTCCAGCCTCTGCGCCAAGGCATTTCTGCGGCTTCTCTCAGACAGTGGCGCACAAGAACTTCATTGTGGGCTTGAAAAAATTAGCGTTGAGGGGAAGAGGAGGGGGAGAAAAATGAAAACAGGAGCAATGTTTAAGCATATGCATGAAAGAGACGAGGTACACAGCGGGGTTTTGAAGGGACAAGGCTCATTAAATCCAAGCAACCTTCAGCTTTACATGCAGAGTCTTACTGGGACCTTTGCGTAAACGGCCAAGAAGTATAAGGACAACCTGAATGTGTTTGAATGGCATTGCATTAGCAAATATCAGAAGGAATTTACTTCAAAGAAAGATAGTACTACAAGTGAGTACACTAGTGAGACATCAAAAGAGCTTTAGTAGATTTTAAGTTATATAACAATGTTCAAAATTAATTATAATTCACTCAAATAAATGGATCCGAAAAATATCATTTAAAATATATTTGTATTGTTTTCTAAATTAGAAGTATTCATTATTAATATTCATATTTTAAAATAATTTACGTATAATGAATAAACCAAGGACCTTTTTTACATTATATATAAAATTATTTTTTACCTTAGTTTATTCATGAAATTATTATATAATTATTGAATATTAATATTTTAAAACTTATAATTTGAATCCCTTAAAATGATCATTTATATATATTGAATTAAAAATATACATTTAATTTGAATGTAAATGGTTTATTATATTATTATAAAAAATATTATAAAAACAAAATAATTTGTATCCCCTAAATTGATTATATATAATTTATATGGTTTATTACACACGTAATTTAAAAAACATTGCATATGTATATTTGGTTATTTATATATATAACAACATTATGTATGTCCTCTAAAATGACATATATACAGTAACAACAAGGATTAAGGATATGATTGAAATAAGACAGTTTATACACCCATAAAAATTTTCCATGGAAAATGTGGCATGGTTTATTTATGAATTTTTCCCCCCTCTAATCCCAAATATTGGGCTAGTTTTGAAATTCATCCAAAGGTTTCAAAGTTTATTTGACATGCTTAACTTGGACAGCAGTGAAACGTTTCTGAAAAGCTAATGTTGTTCATATTTAAATGCAAAAAAAGCTCATAAAATAAGGTTTATTTATCATAAGGGAATTAAACTAAACAATATATAAAACTACCAGGCTTTAAAAGTGGACATTATCAGATAACGCGAGTTTTACTTCCCTCAGCCATATCAGTGTGTTTAGGAACCAGCAACTCCATTTTACGTATTAAATCACGTCTGATTATGGCTTAATCAAACTCCAAATGCTGAAAAGCAGCAGCTTCCATCAAATAAGTGCGATTAGGGAAACCTAAGCAGTAAACGTTTCATGAGAATCCAATGTAACACATTAACAGCTTCTCCCAGTGCCCAGATGAAAAAAAACTGCTGCATTCTGGGATGGCGGAGGATGCCAAAATAAACTGCACGGGGCTGACGAGTGCGACCATGAAGCGGGCCTGTTTGGCTAAACTCTGTTGTAAAGTTTATCCCGGAAAATTCTGCGATATGATACACTGACTTGTTTAAACATTGGAATGAATGAAGTGCTGCTCTCACTGACTGGATCCCACACAACCTCTGGAAAACGTCTGGACACAGGCCTTCATTTTCAATTCATTGTGTACATCACTTCTTGGTTGAATTCGATCATTTCTGTACATCTAGATCTGGCATAACCCATATGGAAAAAATGCCTGAAGGCTGGCCAGTGCCGCCGGTGACGTGATGCACGTAGGAAACAGGCTTTAAATTGAGCAGTGGAGGTGAAGAGGAGGAAGATTCGTGCGGTTTGAAACGAGTGCACGTTTAACCTGAGAGAACAGATGTACATTCCTTCACTGTGACTGCACTCTTATGCAACGCAAATCGCGAATGAGAAAATTAATACGGAGCAACGCATCTTTCCAGACGACGGGATTTGCAGTTCCATCTTTTGCTAAGACGACGACACACATTTTCCAGGTTCCCAGAACAGTTTCCATCACCGTCGAGTCTGCGTTACAGCAGCACGACCTTTTACTTTTCCAATAGCAACATTTCTATTTAAGCAATCAGATTTCATAATGACACATTATATCACGTCCCATGGAAAACTTTCAGCATGTTTCGGGAAAATCTTCTGGCCATGTGCTTGATCAGTTCCAAAATATTCTATTAACTTGCCATTTTTCCTCTACTATTTCTGCCATATCTCTATAAAGAAGTGTTTGTATGCCATTACATCGATTATATCTATTAATAGAGGCCATTTCATGTTGACTAAAGAAATATCTCTCCAGGTGAATGCATTACTAGGATGAAATGTGTTATGTAAAGGTGGTGAATATGGATAACCTGATGATTTGTTGGGAATTTCTATAGTTTGCTTGGAAAGAGCAGTTTTTTTTATTCCACGTGGCTCTGAGCAACATTTCACACATACACACACACACACACACACACACACTACGTGGAGAATCATCCTCTCACACAAATGGAATCTGTATAGAATTCCTGAAGTTTCCAGTTGGAGCAGCGAAACTTAAATCTGTCTCCATCTCCCATTCCGGATTAATGGACAACACTTCAGCTTTCAGGTTTTGGGATTTGTCTCCCTGGTGACTGAGAGGAGTGGGGAATGTCTGATACCTGTCAAACATGACTGATGACCACAGTGACAAGGGCAAAACAACACTATCAATTATTTCAATGCCGTACAACATAAATCCCAAGAAAGAAGTTTTAATAATAATTTATGTAATTAAACATATATTTATCATTTAAAACGTAAGTTATTCCTGTGATCAAGGCTGAATTTTCAGCATCATTACTCCAGTCTTCAGTGTCACATGATCCTTCAGAAATCACTCTAATATGATGATTTGATGCTCAAGAAACATTTATTATTATTTTTAATGGTGATTGTTTGATCAATTGAAAGCTCAAAAGAAAATACATTTTTAAATAATTATTGGAACTATATATATAGGCCTATATATTGTATATATATATGTGTGTGTGTGTGTTAATTGAGCTTAATTGCATCTAACATAAAATTTTGGTATATATAAGTGTATGTATATATATATAGTAGCGATTAATCGATTTGACAGCCCATAATATAACACGATATATTCAGCACAATGAGTCTGTTTTTTATTATTGTACTTCGAGGTGTGGTTATGATCACAAGCACTACTGAAAACTCTTAAGAAAATCTCTGTCAGCAGAGGTGAGGCTTTTAAAAGCAAATCAAACATTCCAGGCTGTTGTGTGTGTATAAATAGCTCTGCTGGGGTGTGAGAGCCGCCTCAACACACTCCTCTTTAAGTGATTTATCATCGTCCAAATCCTCTGTTGTGGTACACAACGGAATACAACAGGGCAAGTCAGGATCTGTGTGTATCCAGTGTTTCATCAGCACAACGTGTGAGTGTGTGTGTGTATATATATATATACATGTGTACATATAAATACATAGTGGATCAAAAAAGTTCATCGGGTATTGTTCAAAATTCATGTATAACTTTGATGAAAGGTTTCGATCCACTTCAAATGTTGATAGGTGGAGCTGGGGAAGTGGGAGGGTTTCAGAGGAACTTTAAAAATGAGCTGCAAACTTCTGCAACAAACACTGATCAACTGTTTCACGAGTTCACACTTACAAATGATCAGAGAATAGATGGTTATGCGTATTTGGTGTGCTGTCCGGGGGGAGGGCTCCGAGCTCGGAAATTGGGCCCGAACCCAGAGTACTCCCCATAAAGCAAAGTGAATAAAGGACAGCCGCCTGCTTAAAGACCCCCCGAAAAGAGCGCAGAGAGAGGGTTCTTGTGGCAATGGTCACGGCATCGGAGAGGGTAAGCCTCACCAGTCAGGAAAGAGAAAAACATAGATGCTTGACTGGGAGGGTTTGGCTACGTCCTCTGGGAGATCAATACTCGCTAGACGGAGGAGGAGGAGATGAAGATGCTTGACCTGGGGAACTCTCGCTGTGTCCGCTGGGAGATCAATACTCGCTGGACGGAGAAAGAGAAGATATAAATACTCGACCGGGAAGGCTGTCTCTGGGTCCGCTGGGAGATCAATACTCGCTGGACGGAAAAAGAGAAGAAATAAATACTCGACCGGGAAGGCTGTCTCTGGGTCCGCTGGGAGATCAATACTCGCTGGAAGGAGAAAAGAGAAGACATGGATGCTCGACCGGGAAGGCTCTCGCTGTGTCGGCTGGGAGATCAATACTCGCTGGACGGAGAAAAGAGAAGACATGGATGCTCGACCGGGAAGGCTCTCGCTGTGTCCGCTGGGAGATCAATACTCGCTGGACGGAGAAAGAGAAGACATGGATGCTTGACCGGGAAGGCTCTCGCTGTGTCCGCTGGGAGATCAATACTCGCTGGACGGAAAAAGAGAAGAAATAAATACTCGACCGGGAAGGCTGTCTCTGGGTCCGCTGGGAGATCAATACTCGCTGGAAGGAGAAAAGAGAAGACATGGATGCTCGACCGGGAAGGCTCTCGCTGTGTCCGCTGGGAGATCAATACTCGCTGGACGGAGAAAAGAGAAGACATGGATGCTTGACCTGGAAGGCTCTCGCTGTGTCCACTGGGAGATCAATACTCGCTGGACGGAGAAAAGAGAAGACATGGATGCTCGACCGGGAAGGCTCTCGCTGTGTCCGCTGGGAGATCAATACTCGCTGGACGGAGAAAGAGAAGACATGGATGCTTGACCGGGAAGGCTCTGGCTGTGTCCGCTGGGAGATCAATACTCGCTGGACGGAGAAAAGAGAAGACATGGATGCTTGACCTGGAAGGCTCTCGCTGTGTCCGCTGGGAGATCAATACTCGCTGGATGGAGAAAGAGAAGACATGGATACTCGGAAATTATTATTATTTATTTATTTTAACCGATGAGGATTTGGTGGGCTTTTTTGATATGGAAACGATTAGTTCTGATGTAGGTTTGGAACGCGTCTGAGGACCATCTTCCAAGCGCTTGGATCTGCTGTTGGGAGAGGCCTTTTTGGGCTGCTGAGGTTGCTGCCCCGATGCGGAAGGAATGGCTGGAGAAATTCTCTGCTGGGATGCCTGATAGTTGGAGAACAGATTTTAGGTGTTTTTGGAACCAAAAGCGTGTCACGGGTTTGTTAGAGTCGTCTATGAACAGGGGTTCGAGATGGAATTTAGCATGAGAGTTTCTCAGTTGGAGGTATGCTAGTATAGTTTGGAAAGGTTGAATTGGTGACGAGAGGTTGAAAATATATATGAAGTGGCCTTTTTTGGTTTGGTCTGTTTTGCTTTGTTTGATCAGAAAAGAGATAGTTTCGCTGTCAAGCACTGAAAGATCTGAGATGTTTGGGTGGATTTTTGGGTCGAATCTGGAAGTGATAGCCAGTTCAGAGCATCTTAGGAAACCAAAAAAAGCTAGAATAAACATGGCGTCGAGTGTGCGAGAGGTATTAAGGGATCGGTAGCCTGAGCGGAGGGTATGAATGCATTTAGTAAGAATATCTAACGTTATGGGTTGTCTGGTGTCCGGGCGGGTGGGCTGGGATCGTTGGATGCCTTTAATTAAGAGGGAGGTTTGTGAATTATTTATCTCCGGTGAGGGGGCGCCGTGAATCAATTTGTGAAAAAATTGGATGCCGCTTAAGTAACTTTTGATGGACCCGACTTGGAGGCTCTTAACGCTGTTAAGGTAAGAGATGAAGGAGGTAATTGTAAGGAGGGAAAAATCAGGGAATGGCGTGTTGTAAGAAAGGTGGAAGGCTTTAAAACATCCCCATGCGGTCACATAGGATTGGAGAGTTCTGGGGGAAACTGCTTGGAGAATGGTGTCGAGCGATATGTTGAGGAGGGATTTTTGCGGGTGGGTTATGGGAATATTAATTCCGAATAATGAGGTACTGGAGTTGGTAGCTTGTCTGCCTCTGGAGCCAGCATCCTGAATTTCTGAAACATAAAGCGAGACAGAGAGTCAGCAATTTGGTTTTTTGACCCGGGGATGTGTTTAGCAATTAAGATAAATTGATCACATGCTGAAATCCAGATTAGACGTCTTAGAAGTGGCATCAGTGCGGGTGAATGGGAACGGCCTTTATTAATGCACTGGACTGTAGCTTCATTGTCACAATGCACTACGATACTGCTAGCAGTCCATTCTTTCCCCCACAGGAAGGCTGCTACTACGAGAGGGTAGAGCTCGAATAATGCGGAGGACTGTAGCGTGTCCTGTATTTGGGGGGGCCACGTAGACGCGAACCAGCGTCCTTGGCAGAACCCCGCAAAGCCGACTGAGGGGGCTGCATCTGTGAACAGCTGGATGTCGATGGGGGAGGAAATTAGATCCTTATAGAAAAATGATAGGCCGTTCCACTGTTTAAGAAAAGTTATCCATAGCCTGAGTTCGTCGTGGCATGCTGGAGTTAGGGAAATGAGATCCTCTAGTGCGTGAACTGAAGACGCGAGAGAGAGGAGATGAGAAACGAAAAGGCGGCCTTGTGGAATAATGCGCATGGCGAAGTTTAAGTGGCCGAGCATGGATAGGAGTTCGCGTTTGGAACACTTTGAACTGTGAACACTTTGAAAAGTTAAGCGTACGGCGAAATAGAATTTCCCATGCCAGCGCACTCCGAATAAGTGCCATGAATCCGGGTGGATGGGCATCACTTTAAAAGCCGAAGTGATGTCAATTTTTGCGAGCCAGGCACCCCGACCCACAACTTTTATGAGGTCGACTGCGTGATCTACGTCGTGGTATTTGAGAGAAAATTCGTCGAGTGGGATCAGGCTGTTAATGCTTGGGAACAGGGATTTATGTGGAGCTGACAGATCGACTATGAGGCGTTTCTTACCTGAAAACTTTCTCGTAGCCACTCCAATGGGGCTAATGCGAAAAACTTTGTAAGGAGGCTCGTCAAAAGGGCCAATCATGAAGCCTGACTCGACTTCTTTTTTAATCAGGTTGTCTACCACGTCGGGCTCGGCGAGAGCCGATTGGAGATTATCGCAGATGATGTTTTGGGAGAGCGGACAAACCACTCCAGGTTTAAAACCGTGTTGTAGGCCAGACAGCAGATATTCGGTGAAGTCAGAGTCTGGGTGGTGAGCTAGTTCGATGGAAAGGCGAGAAATATTCACGGGAGTCGATAAATAATTTTTAGATCTTTTATTGACATCTTTATACACAGGGCATACGGGACGGGCATGAGCACCGCCGCAGAAGCTGCATATGTGCAAGTACCGACAACGCTGCCTGGTGCATTTGCCAATATTAAAATTGTTGCATGGCTGTTTGTTGTCTGTAAGTGCTCTGGAGCTGAATTTAGACTCATGTAGGTTGCTAGTCGCCGTTCTTGGTGTGTAGCTGGTGGATTTGACTGGTGCTGTTTCAGGGCGTGGGGGAACGAAGGGGTTAACTTGGGGGCACAATGTTGTGGAATGTGCCACTGACCTGCAGACCGCGCAGGAAATATTCCTGCAGTCGAGGAAAACTCTGCTGTGTAAGTCAGTGTCTAGTGCTCCCCAGTAAGGGCATTGGTTCCACTGAGAAACCCTGACAGCGCATTTTGCTGAAAAGAGTTTGTGGTATGTGTAAAAGTGCCCTCCCCCGTAGGACAACGCGAGCTCGGCTATCAGCGCTAAATAGTCATTCAGTTCGCGTCGCCTATGAGGGAAGGCTGAGCAAATGATGTCTGTGAAGTGGCTGAAAGCAATTGAAAACTCTGAAAAAGAAAGTAAACGTGACGAATGTGTATTTTGATTTTTTAAGGTGACTGAAAAATCCCCGCAGTCTAACTGACGGTTGGAATCGGATACGGGAAGCAGAGAAAGTAAATGTGAGAGATCTACATCCGCACCTGCCAGAATCTGTGCTCGGATGTTTTGAGTCACCGGGGGAGGCTCCAGAGCGACGGCGTTTGGTGGAACTGGCATCGGGGTAGCTGTGAAGAGAGAATATTGTGATTTGGCATTTAGAAGATAGCTGTAAGGGAGAGAAGCCTGGGCTGCGACTATCGGCGGAGGCAACCTCACGCTTAGGTCGGCCTGTGGGGTTTGAGAAGGAAAATTGAGAAAAGCACCAGGGGGAAAAGGAGGAAATGGATGAGATGCCTGAGCCTGTGTTGCAAGCGGAGGTGGTCTTGCACTTGCTTGGGCTGCAGGCCACTGAAAAGGGGAGGGGTTAGCCGTAGTCGCTGGAAAATGGTGGAAAGTTTGAGTCTCCACCACTAGCGGAGGCAACCTCACGCTAGCGTCTGCTACGGGAGCCGGAGGCCACTGCAGAGGAAAAGGGTTAGAAACAGCAGGAGGAAAAAACTGGGAAGCGGAATGAGAGCCGGCGGGCCCAGCTGTGTATGGCGCTGCAGCGGGAAGCACAGTGTTGAAAAGCTGAGGTGAAGCGGGAGGCGGGCGAGGTCTCGTGGCGGTGGAATCTGGAGCGCGACCCAGGCTCGCAGAAATCCTGGCGCCCCGGGCCGAAGCGCGCGGCAATCCGACCTTGCACGGGAAGGTGGCGGAGTCAGGCGAGGCGAATTCGGGGCCTCGCGAGAATTTCCCGGCCTGCTGGCCGCCTTGGAACCTGGGGTGGAATTAGGAGAGATATTTGAAGATTGTAAGGTAACATACAGGTTGTAAAGTTGCGCTTTAGTCATCCTGCGCGAGGGCTGAATATCGGAATTTATCAGCGCTTGTCTCAGACTCAAGACTGTCCACTTTCCAATAGGCGGAATCGTTGGCACGGCCGAACGATAGGAGGACGCTGGCGAGGAAGCTGGAGTCCTCGCCGGTGGAGGTAAGGGTAGACCTCGACGTCTTGGCGTGCGAGGAGTTGTTTGTACTGACCGGCGCCCACGAGATAAAACGTGGGGCTCGGAAGCGGTATCAGCCGGAGAGGTTGTCCTGGGGCCAGCTGATGGCGGCGGAGCATGGTTGAGCTCGTCATCGGACGGTGAAAGTTGCATTTGGGACATCTTTTAGCAAAGCAGTACGCCAAATGCTGAAAACTGTCGAGGAATATGGGTGAGTCGACTGAGTATATTTATAGGCTTTACTCGTGCTGATTGAGTGGACCTGTTGATTACTGATTGCTGACAGCTGGCTGGAATGACTTGATTGTTTGATCATTAGAACGTGTTCCTTCCGAACCTTGTTAATAAAACATCAATTAAATGTTGAGCAGAAAGCTCATTGGCTGCGGATGCAACAGGAACAAATCCCTCCAACATAATTTCACTCTCACATATATATATGGTCCCATTATCTTACACGCTCGTCTTCTCCCTCAGTCTCACGGCAGCTCTTCCTCTGGGACTGATGTGGCATGGACACACAGGCGACGATCACTGCTGTGTTCCGTCTAATAATAAAGCTCGACATCACGTGCACTGCAGCGTCTGGCACACCGCAGTACGCACCACATGAGAGAGGAGTAATGATACGCTTTATATGGGCTGTACCCAAAGAGCTCATTTCATCAGCAACACATTATGTAGAATCAAGGAGGCACGTGAAAAGCCAGAAGCACAAAGAAAGTTTCAACTTTTATCAATGGATCGTGTTCAATTGATCTGTAGCATTATTATTGTCAATATTTGATTTATTAATGTTATCATGAACTTGTGTTTTGAAGCCTCACCATCAGGCCTGCATGCTGTTAATGCAGTCTGCATTCATTTGCGAGACTCCCCCTTCTGGTGAAACATGACACATTTTTATAACACACAACGGCTGTGTTGAGAAAGGCATACTACTCTTACTATTTCAGTATACATGTTTTATGTACAATTATATTGTGTATAAATAATGTGTGAAACATTAAGTGTTACATAATGTAGTTCCGTTTCATATACTATTATTAAAAAGATACTGTGCAAAATGCAGAAAGCTAGCATACCAATCCAGATATCCGCTATAAAATAAAATGAAAATAATGAAAATAAACCCTTCCGTTCAAACACTGGGGTCAGTGAGAAATTAATACTTTCATTCAGCAAGGATTCAATAAATTGATCAAAAGAAAATAAATGTATAACGTAAAAAAAAAATAAAAAAAATAAAGAATCCTGTTTCCACAAAAAAACTGTTTTCAACATCGATAATAATAAGAAATGTTTTTTGAGCAGTAAATCAGCATATTAGAATGATTTCTGAAGGATCATGTGACACTGAAAACTGGAGTAATGATGCTGAAAATCCAGCTTTGATCACAGGAATAAATGAAATTGTAACATATATTAAAATAGAAAACAGTTCTTTTATATTGTAATAATATTTCACAATATTACTGATTTTACTGTATTTTTTATCAAATAAATGCAGGCTTGGTGAACAGAAGAGACTTATTTCAAAAAACAAACTCTTACCAACCCCAAACTTTTGAATGGTAGTGTATATTAAAAAAAGTATATATTAAATATATATAAGCATTATTGGAGATATATTACATGAAATATTTGTAGAAACTAAAGAAACAAGCAGAGAATTAGTTAAGAAAAGATCTTTTTTATTTTAAACACTTCTTATCCTGAGACGCACTTGTCCCTTTTTTGTTCTGCAATTATTAGAGTGCAAATTCCAACACAAATAATAAAATAAAAAAAGCTAATAAATAAAAGCCTTTTTTTTTGTTATTTACAATTCAGCAGATTACATTACCAAACAAAAAAGTATTTTCAATATAAACATAAAAACCAGTCAGCACAAAAAGTAGTCAGGAGAAGATCATGGCATTCGGTCTAAGTCTAGGTCCACATCACAATCCGTACAAACTCTGATCCATGCAAGAGACGTCGAATATGACGAGAGCCTGTCGGTTCAACACACTAAAGTGTCTGAAGGTGAAAGATGATATGGCACTAAAAACACAGACACCAACACAGTTGATCAATGCTAAGTGCACATCGCATTCGGGATCATTAACACAGACAAACATTGGGTTTTAAGGACACCTCGAGGAGAAGATTACAGCGTTTAGTGCTGACTGATGCATCATGGGATTTGGCTCTGTAAACCAGTGATTGGGAGTAGTCTTAAAAAGACTCTCCGGGTCATAATGGTCAGACGGGGGAGGCTGGGGTACAAAGTGAGCATGTCTAGCGTCAGAGGTCACCACAAGAGTGGACAAACACTGCTGTGGACAGGAGGATGCGAAAATAGCATTGTTTTCTATGGCACCGTATCGACCCTGCAGTGACTAGCAGTGGTTGGTTAGTATGCTAATAAAACATTTCCATTTCCAGTTAACCTAGTTAATTCATTCAGTGTCCATTAAAAAAGCACATCCTTTCCAACAATCACACATCTACTGTACATGGTAACACTTCACAATAAGGTTCCATTTGTTAACATCAGTTAAGTTTGAGAGTTTCTATCTTACACCTTATTGCAACTGCGAGTTTATACCCCTTAATTGTGACTTTATTTCTCATAATTGCAATTGCGACTATTCAGAATTGTGACTTTTCATCTTTTTCTCAGAACTGAGATAAAACTTGCAATTGCGAGTTATAGTCTGAATTGCGAGATAAAACGTTTTGAGAAAGTCGCAAAAAAAAAAGAAGTATTGCAAGTTTATATCTCGCAATTTAATGAAGTAATAAAGTCAGAAGAATGGCGACTTTACATCTCGCAATTCAGACCGTTTTTTGCAGAATTGCGACTATATCTGAGATATAATTGTGAGATATAAACTCGCAATTGCAAGTTATAAAGTCCGAATTGCGAGATAAAGACAACTGCAATTATAATTTATCTGTAAATTGTACACTTAACTGGCAATTGCAATTTATCTGTTTTGAGTCGCAATTGCAAAAAATAAATAAAAAATTCTCAGAACTGTGAGATATAAACTTGCAATTGCGAGATAAAACAATTACTCACAATTGATTGCACAATTTTGAAAATATAGACCCAATTACAAAAAAAGTACTGCAAGTTTATATCATGTGGATACATATCTCGCAATTCTGACTTTATTTCTCAAAATTGCGACTTCATATCTTGCAATTTAGACTTTTTTCTCAGGATTATGATAAACTCGGAATTCACTTTTTTTTTCTGGGTGGAAACGAGAAAAACTCTCAATAGCAATTTCTCTCACAATTTTGAGAGTCGCAATTGCAAAAAAACTAAGTACTGCAAATTTATCTCTCGCAATTTTGAGAATTTTGATACGACAGAATTTATTTTATTTAAAATAAATTATGTGTCTGCTAATATTATTTAATGGACCTGAGCTAACAAGAACATGTATTTTGATCAACAAATGTTAACAAACAAAGATATTAACGCATTAACTTTTACTAATTGAACCTTATTGTAAAGTGTTACAAATATATATATTTTTTTTTATTGAGGGGGGATGGGGGAATTGGGGGGGGGGGGGGGGTGCACAACAGATACTTTCTGTTTTTTTAACCTGATCACGTCCTTTCAAGTCACATAAATTCAGTAGTTTTGGAAAATAAATAAAAAGGTACCAAAAACACCTTAAAACAAGTCAACTCCAATTGCCCTTTTCCTCTTTGTGCAAGTTTTTCCTTTTCACATGAGAATACAAATGCAATCGAGACACATAATAGTAATAGATTATTAAATCTCATGGAAAAACTTCCCTGTTGTCTCTCTCATGGATGAATCCCAAAGCTAACCAGTGTGTTTAGTCTTCCTCAGGGAGAGTGATTCACTGCAACTTAAACGGTAGAGAAATTACATGATTCAGAGCGAATGGCGTCTGGACTGCGTCACACAAGTGTCCATTCTTGTCGGTATGAGCACCTGCTCAGGGCTAGCCGGACTGCTAAACTACTAATCTGGCTCGTTGACCAAACATTTAGAAAAATCAGACTTGTGATTTTAGCATCAGGGTGAATGAAGGAGTGAATCAAACCTGACGTTCCAGCAGTTTTAGGTTTGTTTGAGCAGAGTTAGCGGTTAAAGAGCAAGCCGGACTGAGGCAGTAAAGGGTTCAAGAGGTCAGTTTGGAGTAACTCGGAGGCGAGAAGCGTCGTCGCAGGTATTTGAGGATGTAGAGCGGCAGGCAGCTGACCAAAGTGATGGCTGTCACCTTCCACACAAAGGACAGGGTGGCGATAAAATACACATCTGTGAGGGACACAATTAAAAGAAACTGTTAGTGCCCATCTCCATTAGGATACTGTCAAACATCTGCTCATGCTGGACTCAGTCTCAGACGGCACAGCCATAGTCTGTTCACAGACTGAGTCATACTGCACAAAAGTGCCAAAGAGTTTGTTGATCTGGCAAGGTCTAATCGGATTGGCTGACTTTATGCAATTTCCAGGAGTTAGTGAGAAGGTTTATCCATCTAACAGGAAACCGTGTCATGTTTAAAAGATTTGAAAGAATCTAGAAAAGTTTGCCAGGTTAGTGGCATCAAATCTTTAAAGTCCCCCTGTAGTCAATCATTTGATCCCTTAAAACTCACCTTTGATCACCAAAATTACATTTAAATGTTTTCTTAAAAAAAAATCATGCCTTAAAGGTGCTCTATGTAACTTTTAGCGGCCTCTAGTGGTGATGTTTCAGATTGCAACCAAATTTTACAAGAGCGCTCGTGCTCGAACTCATAGACAATACCGTCTATTACGCAAATATCTCGGCGAATACTAGACGGATCGACCATCTAGTCGAGCTGAAAAGAACCATATAAGTTCCAAAGTTTTTGGTGGTGTTTTCGTGGAGATATTAGCAGAAAACCATCGGGCGCGCTGCAAAATTGCGGACGCCGGTGACGTCACGATCTCAGAAGAAAATCGCTCTTATCTCTGGAACGCAAAGACCCAGAGAGCTCAAATTCGGGGGAGGAGGTCCCAGGGGAACCCTTGCCCGAACGCTAGAGTGGCGGGCCTCGGGGATGCCCCCTACCGGATCGCCGTTCGCTGGGACCCCCGATTTCGAACGGCTATAACTCGGGGAGCCGGGCGAGTTGGACCTCGGGGGTGGGCTCGTT